TGAGAAAGAAAAACAAAGCTGGAGGCATCACACTTCTTGATGTGCACCTATGTTAAAAAGCTGTAGTGATCAGAACAGTGTGGTCCTGGCTTAAAAATAGATGCATAGAACAATGGAATAGAATTGAGAGCCCAGAAATCAACCCACACACATTAATGTCTTTGACAAGCGCACTGATAACACACGATGGGGAAACTGGGCGTCCACATGCAGAGGAATGAAATTGGACCCCTATATTACACCACTCACAAAAATTAACTGGAAATGGTTTAAAGACCTTTAGGACCTGAAACCATAAAACTCCTTCTATATGAAGACATAGGGAAAAAGCTTCTTGACATTGGTCTTGGCAATTTTTTGAATATGACAATGAAAGCAAAAGTAAACAAGTGGGACTACATCAAACTAAAAGCTTCTGCACAGCAAAGGAAACTGTCCACACAGTGAAAAGGCACCCTATGACATAGGAGAAAAATATTTGCAAACCATGTATCTGATAAGGGATTGATATCTAAAATATATAAGGAACTCATACAATTCAGTAGCAAAAACCCCCAAATAATCTAATGAATAAAATGAGCTAAAGACCCGAGTAAACATTTTTTCAAGGAAGATACTCAAATGGCCAACCACCGGTACATGAAAAGGTATTTAACATCACTCACATCAGGGAGATACAAATCAAAACCACAGTATCACCTTACACCTGTTAGAATGGCTGTTATCAAAAATATAAGAGATAACAAGTATTGGCTTCTACCCCACTTCAGATGCCCAAGGATGTGGAGAAAAGGAAACCCTTGTACACTTTAGGTGGGAATGTAAATTGGTACAGCCATTATGGAAAACAGTAGGGAAGTTCCTTAAAAAATTAAAAATAGACAACAGTATGATCCAGCAGTCCTACTCCTGGGAATATATCCAAAGGAAGTGGAATCAGTATCTCAAAGAGATATCTGTACCCCCGTGTTCACTGAAGCATTAATCACAATAGCCAAGATATGGGAACAACCTGTCAGTGGATGAATGGATAAAGAAAATGTGTGTGTACACATAGAAATACACACAGTCTATAGACAACATAGTTATATATATATAATTATATAATACAGACTGTGTATGTGTACACACACAGAGGAAATTCTGCCATTTGTGGCAACATAGATGAGTCTAGAGGTATTATGCTGAGTGAAAGTAGCCAGATGGAGAAACAGAATAAAATGGTGCTTGCTAGGGCCTAGGGGGTGCAGGAAGGGGGGAGATGTTGGTCAAACGGGACTAAGTTTTAGTTATAAGAGGAATAAGTTTTAAGGTTCTAATGTACAGCTTGGTGACTGAGGTTAATAATACTGTGTTGTAGGGGCGCCTGGGGGGCTCAGTCATTAGGCATCTGCCTTCGGCTCAGGTCATGGTCCCAGGGTCCTGGGATCGAGCCCCGCATCGGGCTCCCTGCTCCACGGGAAGCTTGTTTCTCCCTCTCCAACTCCCCCTGCTTGTGTTCCCTCTCTCGCTGTCAATCTCTCTGTCAAATAAATAAAATCTTTAAATAATAATAATAATAATAATAATGATAATACTGTGTTGTATATTTGAAAGTTCCTAAAGAGTAGATCTTAGGCATTCTCACTAAAAAGAAAAACAAAACAAAATATGTGAGGCGATTGATTTGTTAATTTATTTGATATGGTTATAATTTCATAATGTATACATATATCAAATCATCACATTTACACTCAATATATACAATTTTATTTGTCAATTATACCTCAATAAATTTTTTTAAGAAATAAAGCAGCGTTGACATTTCAGAGGAAAAGATTAGCACCACCCAGAATGAAACAGGAGAAACACGGAAAAACAGAGCTTCTGCGAGCCATGGGGCAACTTCAGGCAGACTAACTTGTGTATAATCATAGTCCCTGGAGGAGAGGAGAGAAAGAAGGGAGTAGAAGAAAGTATATTGAGAAATAATGGGTCAAAATTCTAAATGTGGTCATCTTTAAAGGGGGGAAAACATTATGTACTAAGGAGCACCGGTAAGAATGGCAGCCAACTTTTTGTTGGAAACAATACAAGCCACAAGACATAAGATCAACATATTTAAAATATGAAAACAAGAAAACTATCTACCTAAAAATCTACACTGGGAAAGTATCTTTCAAAACCAGCTCAGTTGGTTAATTGTCTGCCTTCGGCTCAGGTCATGATCCTGGGGTCCTGGGATCGAGCCCCGCATCGGGCTCCCTGCTCAGTGGGGAGCCTGCTTCTCCCTCTCCCTCTGTGCTCTCTCTCTCAAATAAATTTTTTTTTAAGGATTTTATCTATTTATTTGACAGAGAGAGACATAGCGAGAGAAGGAACACAAGCAGGGGGAGTTGGAGAGGGGGAAGCAGGCTTCCCCGCGGAGCAGGGAGCCTGATGTGGGGCTCGATCCCAGGACCCCGGGATCACGACCTGAGCCGAAGGCAGACGCTTAATGACTGAGCCACCCAGGCGCCCCTCTCTCAAATAAATTTTTAAAAAATCTTTAAAATTAAAAAAAAAAACAGAGGTAAAGCATTTATTAAAATATGCAAAATCTGAAAGCGTCTGACCCAGATTACAAGAAACTTTAGAGGCAGCTCTTCAGGTGGAAGAAAGTGGCACCAGATGGAAGTCCAGATCTGCAGAAAATAGAGAGCAGCCCCCAGAAAGGGCAAGTACATGAACAAATGTGATAGACTTTTAAAAATAGTTATATCTCTTCAAAAGGTCATTGGCTGTTTAGAATGAAGATACTGATGTGAATCACAGGCCTCTGTCCGGGTTGGATGGTGGCTCTGGCGCACTCCCATGCAGAGTCCTCGCAGGAGAGCCGCAGAGATGGTCACACTGATCATGAAACTTGCATGGAAATGCAAAGGAGCCAAGCTAATGCAAAGCAGCTCTGGAAACGCACAAGTGTCAGAAGATGGGTGCTACGTTGCTCCAGGACGTATGGTGGGTGCGCAGTAGTCGAGCCAGTGTGGCGCTGGCCTGAAGGAAGTGATGTAGATGGAATGAGTCCAGGCTCAGACCCGCAAACATATGGCCAGCTGACTTTCCACAGACGTGTAATGGCAACCGGTGGATAAAGTCATCTTTTAAACAAATGGTACTGCAGCAGGTGAATAGCCACATGGTAAAAAACAAAAGCAAGAACAAACAAAACAAAATCATTGGCCCCTACCTCACACCATATACAGAAATTAGCTCAAAATGCATTGTAGAACTAAATGTGAGAGTCAAAACTATACAACTTCTAGAAAAAAAAATCAAATCTTTGTGACTTTGAGTTAGGCAAAGAATTCTTAGATTTGATATCAAGAGCATAATTCATACAAGATATTGATACATTTTGTTAAAATGAAGAACCTTTGTTCTTTGCTACTATTCAGAAAATGTGAAAATACAAACCAGATCCTGACTGAAAATGTCTGCAAATCACATATCTGATAAAGGGCTTCATATCCAGAATATTCAGAGAACTCTCAGTATCAAGAAAACAACCAAAAAAAAAAAAAAAAAAAGGAAAGCTCTGGACAGACACTTCCCCCGGTGAAGATGTGTGGATAGAGAGAAGAAAAGGTGTGGAACGTCATTACTTGTGATGTTGACTACTCTGGGAAGAGCTGGTTTTCCAAGTCCTGAGTGTTTCTGCTTTGCGTTCCCACAGAACAGTGCACTTCCGGCACTTCCAACACCAAATGTGTGTGGGTTTTCCCCACAGCAAGCAAGTCTCTGAGACACCAGCTGGGTGTCCTATGATTTTAGGCAATTCTTTTGCTCTTATTAGAGACAGCATCAGATCCCACAGGTGAAGGACTCAGTCCCACAAAACTGCTCCCCCACTTTGGTGCCAGTGGGGAGTAGAAGGTCCCCAAGTTACCCACAACTGTCCTTTTTGCCTACAAATGAAGGGTTCCCACAACCCCCTCCTTGGGTTTGATTAATTTTCCAGAGTGGCTCAAAGAACTCAGGGAAACAGGTTTACCAATTTATTATATAATAAAGGATGCAGATGAACGGCCAGATGAAGCGATATAGAGGGCGAGGTCTGGGAGGGTCCCAAGCACAGGCAAGAGCTTCTATCCCTGTGGAGTTGGGGTGGGTCACCCTTCCGGTATGTGGACATGTTTACCAACCTGGAGGCTCCCCAAACCCTGTACTATTGGGATTTTATGGGGGCTTCCTCACGTAGGCATGATCCAATTATTGATGCATTTCTGGAGGATAGGGGCAGGGCTGAGAATCCCAAGCTTGTAATCGTGGCTTGGTCTTTGTGTGACCCAGCTCGTACCCAGGGGCCCACGGGAGTCACATATTTAGAAGGAAAGATGCTCCTGGTGCTCTGTCACTTAGAGCATTACAAGGGTTTCAGGAGCTGTGCTGGGAACCGAGGCGGAGACCAGTGTACATTCTGTACTAACTCACAGAGACACACCTCCTAGATTGGCTACAGTTCAAGACTGACCACACTCAGCAACGTGGGAGAGGACGTGGGGAAGCTCTCACCACAGTCACAGCTGGAGGGAATGCAGAAAGCTTCACAGTTTGGTAGAAGCGCAGTGTGCCCCGCGAAGACAAGTCCTGGGTTCCTGCTGCCCACACCTCTGCCTCCACCAAGCAGGGCACTCTCATCCTAACCCTATCAGGGATTAAGTAAAAGAAAACAAGTTTGCCATCTGAAGTTGGTGTAATCAAGTAAAAATTCAGTGTCCAGTGAAATTAACTATCCTTTTCCCCCCCACGATTAAAAAGTTATCAAAAAAAACTTTGTTTGCTTTCTCATTTAAATCTTTGCATTTTGGGGGAACATTTTAAGTTTTTGTTATATGTCTTTGTATTCTCTTATGTTTTCTTGTCGAATTTCTACCTAGTAAGTTAGTTGTATTTTAAAATGGTCTTTGAAGTTAATGAATGTGTGTGATTGCTTTCATTAAAAATCTCCCATGTATACAAAAACTGTGTGTGTCCTGCAGGATCCTGGGAAGCTGATTGAAATCGAATGCCTGGAGTACGAATTAGAAGCTTTAAGACTCGAAAGTAAAATTAAAATCTATGTCCGAGCAGCCGTTGAGGTAAACCCCTGAGCAGGCTGAGCATCACTGAGCGGTTTTGCACACTTCCTGGAAGCTGCTGGCTCCCAGGTGACAGGGACACAGGCCGGCCTCCTGTGCGTCGGGTTCCCACCTGTGAACACAGCCTCTCTGGCAGGAGCCCCACCAGGACTGGCCGCCATTCTCCATAGCAGTGAGCACAGTCCCCCCTGGCTCCTAGGGCCAACTGGCCTGCCGGGCGTGTGGGGCTCATGCAGCCTGCGTGCTGGGCTGGGGATCCAGAGGTGGGCAGAAGAGGGTCATCAGAGGTTGTTGGGGATACAGGGACCCCAGGATGTGTGGGGGGAGGCAGGAATCCCAGGGGCGCATGGTGGGGGGGGGAGGTGGGGAGTCCAGGCAGGGAAAGTCCAGAGGACCCCGCTGGGAGGGGGTACTGTGCTCACCAGAGCTGCTCTTCCTTGGCTGCTCCACCTGGAGATGGTGGCCTTGTCTGCCACGTTCGTTCTGCCGTCGGAGAGGAGGCAGCTTCTTTCCGATGAGCTGGTGTGGCAGTAGCTGTCTAAACATGGTGGCAAAGATTTACAGGCGACATGAGCTTGGCTGCTCTCTCCCATCGGCTTATTTAGCACAGTAGGATTTGGACCGGCAGCCCTGCCAGGAAAGGAATCCAGAGATTATTTTAGACTACTCTTTAATGAGAATTTTTGCAGCTTTAAAGGAAAAGAATCTACTGGAACAGAGTAGTGGTGACTAGTGTTGATGTGGAGCTGAGGCGGGCACTCGTGGATCAGCTCATGGCGCCTCCAGAGAGCCTTCCGGCCAGAGGCCAGCAGCAGGCACAGGGCTCCGTCCTCCGCACCTGCAGTAGGCTCTGCATGGCGCCTTCCTTGCTGCCTGGTGGATGTTCATGTTCCTGCTGGACTTGCTCATGTGGCTCTTCTAGCCTTGACCTTGTCCGGCACCTGGCAGGAACCTGACCATGGCTGTGTGGGACCTGGCTTCCAGAGCACACTGGCCCCAGGTTTGATCACGGGCTGCAGCAGAGCACGTGGCCTGAGGGGCTGTGGCGGGTGGCTGTGTTGAGCTCAGTCCCTCGGCTTCTGCCCGCTGGTACTGGTCGGGAGGCTTAAGGTGCCAGTTCAGAAGGCAGTGTGAGTATAGATGGAGGTGCAGGTGCAGGTGGAGGTGTGGGTGCAGGTGCAGGTATAGATGGAGGCGCAGGTGTGGGTGCAGGTGCAGGTATAGATGGAGGTGCAGGTGGAGGTGTGGGTGCAGGTGCAGGTATACATGGAGATGGAGGTGCAGGTGTGGGTCCAGGTGCAGGTATAGATGGAGGTGCAGGTGTGGGTGCAGGTGCAGTTGCAGGTGGAGGTGTGGGTGCAGGGGCAGGTATAGATGGAGGCACAGGTGTTGGTGCAGGTGCAGGTATAGATGCAGGTGGAGGTGTGGGTGCAGGTGCAGGTATACACGGAGGTGCAGGTGTGGGTGCAGGTATAGATGGAGGTGCAGGTGTGGGTGCAGGTGCAGGTATAGATGGAGGTGCAGGTGTGGGTGCAGGTGTAGGTATAGATGGAGGTTCAGGTGTGGGTGCAGGTGCAGGTATAGATGGAGATGCAGGTGTGGGTGCAGGTGCACATATAGAGGGAGGTGCAGGTGTGGGTGCAGGTGCAGGTATAGATGGAGGTGGAGGTGCAGGTGCAGGTATACACGGAGGTGCAGGTGTGGGTGCAGGTGCAGGTATACACGGAGGTGCGGGTGCAGGTATAGATGGAGGCGCAGGTGTGGGTGCAGGTGCTGGTATAGATGGAGGTGCAGGTGGAGGTGTGGGTGCAGGTGCAGGTATACACGGAGGCGCAGGTGTGGGTGCAGGTGCAGGTATAGATGGAGGTGCAGGTGGAGGTGCGGGTGCAGGTGCAGGTATACGCGGAGGTGCAGTGTGAGGGTGCTGGCAGCCAGAGGCCGTGGGACGTGGCCAAGTTAGGATCGGCGGGCAGCCCCAGGGGGCTCTGCAGAAGCGTGGGGCTGTAAGCCGCTTCCCCACATCCTCGAATGTGGGACCAGAGACTGGCTGGTGGGAGCACACTTGTAGCACAGAAGAGAGAAGATGGTCTTTGGGTGGCAAACAACTGGCTGTAGGCCACGGTGAATATACAAGCCCGAGAAATACGCACACTTGGATGGAATCAGCTCATGGAAGAGAAAGAGATCCGTGGGTGTGCAGAGCCCATTCTAGGCCTTTTAAGGAAGTATCTTATAGACAACCAGTCCCTTCTAGAAAAGGTGACATGGGCCATTGCCACAGACAGACTCAGACTTCGGGCCCTGGCCCCACCTGCTACCTCCTGACCCTCCAGCTCCCCAGGTGGTGTGCAGGACTCCCCTTCAGTCTTCACAGACTGGCCCGTGTGTTTTGTGCAGACCCAGCTGAACATAGTGCAGAGACTTGACGTGGCACTCCAGCGGGCCGTGCGGCTGGGTGAGCCCGGGCTCATCCACGTGGTGTGTACCACCCAGTGGAACATGTGTCTCCCTCTGCTGCAGCACAACCTGCGGCACCACCTGCGGAAGCCGCTGACCAACATCGCGGACATCCTGGAGAAGGTGGACAGGTAGCCTGTGCCTCCTGATCCTGGGCTCAGAGAGGGGGATGCTCGTGTGGAAGAGGGCTGGGCAGACCCTTCGACACCAGGACAGAGATGAGATCCAGCTCATTTCCCCAAAAAGCGGTGCCGGCAGGAAAATCTACCTGCATCAGAAAGGGCTTGCCCAGCTGCCACAGTGACGAGGCCACAAGTGGGCCCCAGGCAGGGATGGGGGGCCCTCCCCACCGACTGATGTAAAGTTAGGGCCAGCCCGGGTCCCAGCACCAAGGCTCCACGAGCCTGCAGGCACACACTGACAGCAAGATTCAGTTCAGGTCCAACTTCCTCCCAAGGCCGGCACCAGAACCCAGTTGTCCCTGCTCCACAAGCTCTGGTGGAAGAGCCTGCCACAGCCACAGTGTGGTGCCCACTGGCTGTGAAGCCAGGCCCATCACCTGGTGTCTGGAGCACAGATGGGTCAGTGCTGAAGTGTGGAATGCCATGCCTTCTGTCTGCACTGGGTTGGACACATTCATCACACACTTGCTGAGCACCTGCCCTGGGCCAGGCACAAAGCAGGCCCTAGAGAGGTGCTGTGAGGGTGTACAGCCTAGCACCTGCACCCACACCTGCGCCTCCATCTATACCTGCACCTGCACCCACACCTGTGCCTCCATCTATACCTGCACCTGCACCCACACCTGCGCCTCCATCTATACCTGCACCTACACCTGCGCCTCCATCTATACCTGCACCTGCACCCACACCTGCGCCTCCATCTATACCTGCACCTGCACCCACACCTGCGCCTCCATCTATACCCTGCACCTGCACCCACACCTGCACCTCCATCTATACCTGCACCTGCACCCACACCTGCGCCTCCATCTATACCTGCACCTGCACCCACACCTGCGCCTCCATCTATACCTGCACCTGCACCCACACCTGCACCTCCATCTATACCTGCACCCACACCTACATCTCCACTCTGCTTTCAGTAGGCTGGCTGTGTTAAGTGCTAAAAAGACAGTAAAGCAGGGAGAAGAGGGGCAGGAGATGCTGTTTTAGGCTTTGAAGCATGCATCCGGTGGGCAGCATCCACCCATCTTCCTTTCATCTACTGGGACCATGTGTGTGGTGGCTGGAGCTCTAGCTCCTCTGTGTTTGGTGTTGCACTGAGCTTGTCTCTGACCTCATTTCTTTCTGCCATCCCTTCTGCTTCCTGATGCTCTTTCCCTGCCTTCCCTGAGGCTAATTTTTAGAATCCTACCCCACTTCCTTCACTGGCTTCTTCGTTTCTCCACCATGGGTCCTGGGGCAGCGGGTTGTTCAAGGGCTAGTGATACAGGTCCTCAGGCAGCGAAGTCCACGTGGGCCAGTTGCGCACCCCTCCGCACATCCCGATGCTGGAGCCCTGCAGTGCTTCTCCCCACTTGCAGGCACCCACTGCCTTGGCGCTGTTGTGGTCGTGGGTTTCACGTCTGGACGTGGTGTGATGTATCTTACGTATGAGCGGATCTACCTCACCTTGCCGTGCTGTCATTTGGTCATACAGCCAGTGGTTTTGTTTGTTTTTAAGAAAATTACAGAGGAAAATAGTAGTTTCTCATGTTTATCTACTTTGCTGATCCCACTGGCTCTTCTTTCCTTCGCACACATCCAAGTTCCCACCTGCTTTATTTCACCCTAAAGACCTTCCTGCAGGTGAAGAACTCTTGTTGATCTGAAACTGACTTTACCTCACTCTCATCTTTGAAGACTATTGTCACTGGTTATTGGATTCTGGGTTTACAGATATTTTTCTTCTTTAAACATTTTGAAGAGGCTGTTTTATTTCTTCTGGCCATCATAGTTCCTGATAAAAGGGTGCACTGTTTTCAGCGTGGTTCTGCCATTTGCTATGTGCCTTTCTGCTCCTTTCTGTTTTCAGAGTTCTGATTGTGGTATTCCCCGGAGCCTTTAAAAGCTCCTGCTTGGGTCTACTGAGATGCTTAGACATGTGACAGGGCCTCTCATCAGAAATTATTAGCTGTTATCTGTTCATCCTCGCTCTCTGCCCTCCTGGGACTTGAGCTCGCATGTGTCCTGAATACAGCCCGCCGGTCCCAAGCCTCTGCTCATTTTAAAAATCTTGTTCAATCTGTTCCTCCAATGGATGACTTCTAGGACCACTGGCTCTTCCTCCCCCTGTTTCCAGCCTGCTGTGAGCCCCAAGCAGGAGCTTTCCAACTTCAAATATTCCTGTTTTGAGCTCTAGCGTCTCTGGTTTCTGCGGGTTCTCCTCTCCTGAGATTCCATATCTGTTCTGTCCTTAGTATGGTCTTCCTTCAGGTTTTTGAATACATTTATATTTGTATTTTAATATCTGAGTTGAAGGATTTATCTGGTAAACCCAACATCTGGCCCTTCCCGTATCCTGACTGTGGGTCATACTTTTCTCTTTCCTTGCACATCTAGTGTTATTTGTTGTGTGCTGGACACTGTGGGTGATGCACTATGGAGTGCTTGGCTTCTGCCATCTTCTTTGGAGAAGCGTTCGTTTTTGTTGTAATAGGTGTTGAGTTAAGCATGTCTGGTGATGGACAGGCTCCTGCATGTCCAGTCTCCGGCACCGCAGAGCCCTTCACTCCATCTGCCTGTGACTCCTACTGCCCAGGCTGAGCTCCAATCTCGCCTCCTTGGCTTAGCGGCCCCATGCTCTGCCAGGTTGTTTCTGATGTGGGCTGTCCCTCTGTGTAGCCCCCTGTGCTGAGCGTGTGCTTTTGGCTTGCCTCAGCCTGCTCCTCGGCTCAGTCAGCCCTGGACGGGTCTCCCACTGTGGGGTCTGGGCTCATGCTGCCCAGAGGAGCATCATTCAGGGTAGGGCCTGCCCCAGAAACATGGCCCATTCTGGACAGAGTCTGTGAACCTGGTTCCCTGACGAGGCGCATGGACCACACCCCGGCACTGACCAGGGACCCCTCACGGGCATGGGTGAAGCCGCAGGCACTCCCGTGTCCTTGTCCCTGAGGTCACAGGCATACCACGTGGCATTTACGTCTCCATCTGCACTCAGCCAGTTCAAGGGTCCTGCAGAACTTGCGTTCGGCCGAATTTGTCGGATTTGCTAATGCTGGTGTCCCAGGGCAGTGGCTGTGATGTGGGGTCTCTGCCCGTTGTGGGTGGAAAAGCTCTGAGGACACTCCAGTGACATGTGCAGATGCTTGCAGAGGCCCAGCCAGAGAAGCAGCCAGGCAGGGGTGAGGGCCCATGGGATGTGGCGGCCGTTCTGAGTGGGGGGTGTTCCTCAGCTGCTAAGACCAGAGCAGGGCCCCATCCTGGGGGGCAAAGAGCAGGCTTCTGTCGGCGGCGGCGGGCAGTGGTGGGGCGTGGTGGGTGGGATGGTACCTACGGACAGAGGTGGTAGCGGCAGCATCGCAAGCTTTGCGTGTCCGCTGAGCCCTCCATCCAGCAGGTCTCGCTGGCATGGTCCCCAGTCTGCTGGCCTGCTGCTTCTCAGCCCCAGAACCCAGGTCCCAGCTGCTCTGCAGGGACCTCCCTGCTCGTCCCCTCGTGTGAGTCCTCCGGGCAAAGCCAGGCGGGAGCTGAAGGATGCTGGGAAGCCCAGGCGCCGGGAGGGTCTCACAGGAAGTCAGCATGCCCCGGGCCTGTGTCACACCGTGCTGTCCCTCCCCAGCCTCATGGTCCTGCTCCGCTGCCAAGTGCACATGGAGATAGCACACATCGAGGAGGATGAGCACCGGCTGGAGCCGGCCATGCAACACCTGCAGAAGGCCATGCTCCTGGACAGCCTCGGCCTCTACCAGGACAAGCTCACCATGGCCTTGAACCGGCTGCGCCTGTGTACCATGCTGTACCGGTCCCCTGAGCGTGCTGAGGACAAGGCCATCATGGCCATTGAGCAGGTGCCATCATGGCCTCTGCAGGGTTGCCCAGGGACTGGGGGCCTGCACACAGCCCAGGACAGGGTCGCTTTAGATGATGTAATAGCCCGCTCATCATACCACCTCTTCCTGTTGCAGGCAAAAAAAGCCATCCCAAAAGATAGCGTCAGGAAGAAGCGGGCTCTCCTGGTGAATGCCGGCCTGGCGCTAGCCCCCGACACCTTCCAAATTGTGCTCGACAGTGAGAACGAGGCCAAAGGTACACACTGCCCTCACTCCTGGAGCCCAGCATGTCTCTGCTCAGGAGCCGCCCTGGCACGTGGGGGCCATGCTGTGCTCCACCTAAGGTCCGCACCCGCCTGCCCAGGCCTTGATGTGCGAGCAGTCTGGGGCTCTGAAAAAGCCAGGCTGGGTCTCAGCTCGGCCTCTGTCACCAAGGACCTCCTTCACCACAGGACCGACCGGCGGGCTGGAGGCCCGGGGTCCAGATGAGGGGGCAGCAGGGCTAGGAGCTCCCCCTGAGGTTGGGCAGAGTGTGGTTCCAGCCCCCTTTGGCTTGCAGATGGCAGTCTTCTCCGTGTCTTCACAGCGTCTTCCCTCTGTACCTGTTTCTCTGGGTCCAGAGTTCCTCCTTTTTAAGGACATCCGTCATAACATATTAGGGCCCACCCTAAGGATCTCATTTTAACTCGATCGCCCCTGTAAAGACACAAATAAGGTCACATTTGGAGGTTCTGGGGGTTAGGGTTTCATCATACCTTTTTGGGGGCACAGTTCTGCCCACATCACTGATCTGCCCAGGGCATCACATCCTTGTGGACGGCAGGTCTGTGCCCGGCTGGGGAGCCCCACCCAAGGCTGCCCCAAGGCTCTGCTCCCCCAGTTGTCATGCCCCAGCGGTGGGAGAGGCCCGCTCTGGGACATGGCCCTCTGCTGGCCGTGGGGCTCCTCTGGGGTGTGCTGGTGCCACCTTGGGTTTCCACCTCACCCCAGCAAGGGTAGGGCTGTGTGAGCAGTCCTGACATGCTCCGATCAGCCAGCGTGTTGCCGGCCTGCCAATAATCCAGCTGGAGAAGGCCCTGTGGCCCTGCATGGAGAGGGCTTCAGGGGGCTCCGAGGGCTGGTTCCCCAGGGCTGGCTCCCGAGGGCTGGCTCCCCAGGCCTGGCTCCCGAGGGCTGGCTCCCCAGGGCTGGCATGTTGGCTGAGGGGGATTAGCATGTGCTGGGCACCCTGTACCACTGTGCTGGGCATCCCAGCGCTCAGGGAGCCTGAGCTCTTGAAGTTTGGGCTCCGTGCAACAGAAGGAGCCTCCACCACCGAGCAGATCAAAGGGTCAGGCCATGAGGGTGGGTGGAGGGTGTCGGGCAGGGGCCGATGTGAGGGAGAACCCACCAGAGAGGCTCCACCAGAGCCAGCAGAGCCGAGCCGCTGCGGGAGGCGGCCATGCCCGTGGCTCCCGGCCCCCAGGACACAGACACAGCCCCTCCCAGTCCTGGGGTCCCTTACTGTTCTGACGTCAGTTTGGCATTTCAATTGCCACCCTCAGTTTCCATGGGGACATCCAGGGGCCGGTTCACCTACCTGTTTGCGAAGGCGCGGCACCACATCATCAGCGTGGACAAAGCTGCTGGGCATCTGCGGCGTCTGGGGAATGAGAATGACAAGGAGAGGTGGGTGAGGTGGCACAGCCCTGTGGGAACCCGGCGCCAGCGCCCTGGAGGGAGGCGCGTGGGGCCCTGCCACGTGGAGCCACCAGGTGCCCTCTCGTGCAGCGGCGGCAGGTCTGGGAGCTTCCTGATCTCACTGCCCCTCACGTGTTGCCCTCCTCCCTGGCTGGTGAGCAGAATCCAGATCTGGGCGGAGCTCGCCAAAGTCGCCCGGAGCCAAGGCGTGTGGGATGTGTGCCGGGCGGCGAGCCGCTTCTGTCTCCTGTATGACAATGTGAAGGTGAAGAAGCTGGTGCGGCCGAAGAAAGGTACCAGGGCCCCTACCCGCGTGCCAGCCGGACACCGCTCGGGGCTTTGCGCCTTCTCTGAAGCCCAGAGCGGAGATGCCGCGGCGCTGCGGGCAGTGGCTGGGCAGGGGCTCTCAGCACAGGGTGGTCAGTGGGACAGGCTCCCAGTGGAGGCCGCAGTGCAGGTCAGTGTATCTCTGCTGGGACCCAGCTCACTGTGACCCATCGGGCCCTCCATGCAGCTGTGTCGCCCTTGACTGCTGGCTTGGGTCACTCGAGGTCATCAGGGGCTCAGAAAGGGGAAGGCACCTGCTATGAGCAAGAGAACCAAGGCCGCTGGGCTGGGAGCCTGGGGGCAGAGGGCAGAGGGCAGGGGTGACCTTGGCCAAGCGTGGCCAGGCGACTTTCTCGGGAGTGTGTGGGGCAGCTCCCCAGAGGAGTTCTGGTCTAGTAGACAGTGAGGAGACAGGGATGTGCCAGGGGTCCCAGATGGCTGGGGACGTGGGTACCACAGGCTCCACGGGGCTGGGGGCTTCTCGAGTGGCAGAACTGAACGAGCAAAACCAAGAATGTGTTGTCGGGGTGCCCTAGCCACCCCCTCTCAGGGGAGCCCTGCCCACTGGGGAGTTTTCCTCTGGCCCCTTCCTGGGTCAGGAATCCTTGTATTTTGTTTGCTAGAAAAGATGAACATGTCAGAGCGAGGCTAGAGCACGACCCTTTCCCTCAGGAAAGAAGAAGGGTGGAGACAGCCAGGCCCAGGACGCCTGGGGCCAGTCGGAGGTCACCCTGCAGAGGCAGGTGTCCCCCAGCCTGCTCCGGAAGTTCGCGGAGGTGGGGTTCATCAGTGCAGAGGTGCGTCCCTGCTCCGTGGCGTCGCAGGTGTGCACTCAGCATGGGCGCCTGCACCGGCGTGGTGCGCTCCCCGTGAGACCGTCTCCTGAAACAGCAGTGCAGAGGAGGGGCGTTTTCCTGGGTTCACAAACGTATTGTGATTTTGTGTCAATATATATTTTTCCTTAGAAATCATTTCTCAATCTGGAACCCAAAGTTCTGGAAGTACTAAGGTGACGGTTGCATTTTGGGGGTGTTTGCTTCAACTGCACTTTGAGTGAGGTGTGCATGTTTTATCTACTCCCGTCAGAGGTGGGCCGGCCTTTCCGGGGTTCAGCGTTGCCTCCTGCAGTGAGCACGTGGAGACCCCAGGGTCAGCGCTGGGGCCGCGGGGCTGAGCTCTCCACCACGCCACCTGCACCTCCACTCAGGGAGGCGACCGTGGTGACATCTTGTAACTCCATCATTGTTGGGGCCACTTTGGACTGTTTGTCTTGGGGTCAGTGGGGCTAGAGCCTCACTGAATGTTGGAGTCTGTGCCGTGAGCTAGGGACACGGTGACGATGGGGCAGAGCCTGGTGCTGGTGAGCCGACGGCAGGTGGCGGCAGGACCGTCCACCCTCCCCTGCCCCCTGTGTGCGGCCGGCCCCTCCACCCATGCCGGTGCCCTCAGCCGCCGTCAGTATCTCCGCACACTCGTGGAGTGACCGGGGGCGGGGGACAGACGCCCAGAAGTGACTGTGTCTGAGCAATGGCGTGACCGGGACTGTGCCCCTAGAACGGGCCTTCTCTTCCTGAGACACAGTATTTATGGGGCAGGTGGGGGGGGTGGGGAGGACACGCTGAGAAGACCATGGGGTTCATCACAGGGTCTGCCCACGCCCCTGACCGCTCCTGCCGCACACTTCCTCTGCAGGCCACTATCCAGTTGCTGCGCTCAGAAGGTGTGGACCTAAATAACCATCCGCACCCCCCGGAGGACCTGAGCCAGCACTCAGCCGGCTACACAGTCGAGTCCCCGGAGGACAACGCACAGTGGATCACGTACCAGTAGGTGGCCTGACAGGGCCCAGGCGTCCCCAGCAGCTGTGGGCCCGGCTTGTCCACGGAGCGCGGGCTGGGTGGCCAGGGGCGTCAGGGCACAGACCCGGGGTGGCTGTGCCTGGACCACGTGTGTGGCTTGTGTTGTGTGTGACACACATGGGTCCTCCCAGTTAGTGTGTTATTAGTGAGAACAGGAGAGCAGGGGATGGTCTTCGTGGCGGGAGTGTGAAGGAGGGGTGGCTCTGCTCACAGGAGGGGCCGTGGTCCACTCTCCCAAGGGACCAGCCCACGTGTCTGGGCCTCAGTCATCCTGAGTGTGGATGGGAAGGAGCACTTTGTGTAGGACAGACCAGAAGACATGCCACGTGAGCCGCCACCACAGAAACAGGCACGAGTTTGAGGAGCAGTGTTAACGTGATGGGTTTTAGTCGTCTTTAATCTAATTTTTTAAAAGAGAACGTGGTAACGAGTGGCTATCCATACATCTCACAGGAGCCGTCGAGGAAAGTGGTGAGCCACTTTCCCTGTCGGTTCCACCAGTGAACAGGCTCTTGGCCGCCACCCACTCCCATGGAGGGTGGCACGTTCGTTTTGCGCACATAACGTTTGTCTCAGTGTTTGTTACATGGACGGGTGTCTTTGCCTCAGTCCTGAGCGTCGCGCAGAGCACAGCCTGGGCCTCTGCCCCCGGGAGCCTGCTGCCACGTGGCGGGGGCATGCCATGCCTGTTGAGGGCCCTGCCTGCAGTGGAGGAAGCTCAGTAAACCACGGCCCAGGCCACGCCTGACCCACGGCTGCTTCTGTACAGCCCATGCGCTAAGAGTGGTTTTGATGTATTAAAAATTTGTAAAATAAAAAAGAGGAAAAGGTGCCACAGAGACTACCTGTGGCTCATGAAGCCTAGAATACTTGCTATTTGGCCCTCTACCAAAAAGGTGTTGGGAACATGGGTCCAAGAGAACGGGCTGCCCTGCGGGGGGCGAGGGTGAGGCTGCAGAGGTGGACAGGCGGCCAGGGGCCCGGAGGGAGGTTTGCGGGCGAGGCACAGGGTGGGAGGGTGTGATCTGCGTGTGTGGGAACTCAGTGCTGAGGGGGAACGTCCAGCTGGGGGACGGGAGGCTGGGCAGAGCTGGGCCCCAGGAGGGAACGTGGTGGGTCCAGCAGGCAGCCCCAGCAGGGGCACCTTTCTGACCCCAGACACCGCAGACAGCTGGGCCGTCAGCAGATGTCATGTTGGCCATTTGAGAAAGGTCCTGTTCCGAAGGAAGAGCTTGACGGGGCGCATTGTGGTGCAGGGCCTGGGTCGAGAGTCTGTCGCAGAGCGCCACGCACAGCTGGTTGCGGTCTGCTGAGATCGGACAGGAGATCCAGGAGGGCTGGATCGTGCAGAACGCCGTGGTCTACGTCCTGAACCACAACCACCACCTCATCGTGGCCGGGAGGCAGAAGGAGCTTGTGGACACCCTGGACCACCTCCTGAGCATCGTCAAGGCCACGGGCCACAACGGGTAGGTGTGGCTGGCGGGCACTGCGTGCACTCCTGACCTCCTGGGCTGGCTCCATCCTGATGCCCCGAGAGACCTCGATTCAGGCCTGGGAACTGTGGGGTCGCACGTGCTGCCCCGGGACACCCCCCCCCCCCGCCCTCCTGCTGAATGGCGGGGCCGCTGTTGGCTGGTGTGTGGTGGTGACAGGGACACGGGGAAACCTGTGGGGACACAGGGAGGGCTGCTCAAGCATCTCCAAGCAGATGCTCACCCTCGCCCGCATGCAGCCCCCCTCGGCCCCTGCAGCGCCCCGTACAGATTCCTGCCGGCCTCACTCTGTTCCAGACAGAAGGATTTTAAGGACTGTTTACTGAGACCTAAGTCCCTTGGGAAGATGGAAGGAAAGAGCAACCCCGTCTACGAATCTCACTCTCGTTTTGGAGAGGGTTGGAAATCTGCTACACGTGTGTGCTTTCTTATGCAGGTGGATGTGAGCCTTTGAGCTAAAATTAAACATTTGAAACCATCAAGTCGGGTTAAAGTTTGCCTGACAAGGGTGACATTTCAGAACTCTCGTTTGTTGTTGTTGGTTTGGCTTTTAGTCTGAGCAGTAAGATTTTAGATTTTTGCATCAGATACTGAGGTAGAGACGTTACAATGGGCTGGAATGTAGCAATGCGTGTGTGGATTTTTGTAAGTGACAAACAACAAAAATGGACCACGAGATCCAGAACTGCTCAGCAGGCCCCACAGATGCCCCTCTGACTTGAGCGCCTGCCGGGACCCCGTGGACACCAGCGTCTCCCCGCTGGCAGCTCCCCTGCAAAGTGCCATTGTGGTTGGGGATCAGACTTTGAGTCCCTGATTCTTGACACATGGACCATTTTAATTGACCCATGGGCATGCCTGAGGCATGAGTAAGGCCAAATGGGCAGATGCTCCAGAGCGGGCACAGAGGCCAGGTGGGCCTCTCTGTCCAGCCCCCAGTGACGCCCTGAGGAGCCCATCCACCTGGCACGGGGTGGGTGGGGGCGCCCTCTGTGTGAAGGCCACCTGTGGCGGGGGACTGAGGCGTCCCCAGTGTGGCCCTCATCACAGCCAGTGTCCCCTGGAAGGTCTGAGAACAACTCCATGAACCGGGGCCGGAACCACAGGCGTCTGTGTGTTTCGTCCCAGCAAGATGAGAGCCGGGACTCCTGAGGTCCGCGCATCTGCCTCTGCTTGAGTCTGTGCATGGGAGTGTGCTCTCACCGCCGGTGCGTTGCTTTCCAGAGACCCCACCATGTTGGTGATGCTCTGCAATGCGTTGGCTCGAGGCTTGATTCTTAACTGGATTCCAGCCCAAGTGCCAGAAAAATCTAAAAGACCCGTGCGCTCGAACCTGTTTCACATACCACTGGACTCGGTAGCCAGCTCTGAAGTCAGGACTGCAGTGGAGGTACAACCCCCACCCCACGCGAGGCCGGGAGACCCTCACTCAATTAGCGGAGGCGACAGATGGCAGAACAGTTAGGAGGTGGGGTTTCCACAGCCAGGAAACGGGGTGCAGGGCAAGGAGCGGTGGGAAACGTGCAGTTCTCTAAACATAAGGAAACAGGAGAGCCCTGGACGTTCTCGGGGAGGCTGCAGGCCACCGGCTGTAGGTGGGGGTCAGGCCACCCGGCCTCAGGACTGGAGCCTGCTTAAAACCACCGATGTGGTCTGGCCAGGAGCCACGTCCACTGATTCTTCATCATTTGGGTCTCGGCTCAGGTTTCCCTGTAAAATTCAGGTCATATGAGCAAGGACCTGTGTGCTTTAGGTCTGCGAGTTTGCCCTGAGCCTGACGGACGGGACTGTGCCCGAGGAGGTGGTGCCCACCAGCGCCCGGCAGCAGCTCATTGCCACCTGGGTGAAGGCCAAGCAGCTGCTGCAGCAGCAGATTGGGCCACGGCTGGGCATGGACGAGCAGGTGCCCGTACCCTGGGGTGCTAGCCAGCGTCTGGGAGTGCCCGGGGGCTTGGGGAGGCTCGTCCCATGTGCCCGGACCTGCGGGACAGGAGCCTCCTGATGAAATCTTCCCTTGCCTCCCGCCTGGGGCCTTGCCAACCTGGGCAGCGGTGTGCACTGGGGAGCACTCCCTCCTCTGGCAGAGCAGTGCTTGCCCTCCAGGAAAGTCTGTCCCCAGTGAGGTCACCACCCCGGCCACAGCATCCTCTCCTTAGTCCTGTGGCCTTATGTGGAGGGGCCCTCAGGCCGGAGGGAGCCCCCTGAGCTGGGAACCCGAGGCTGTGGGGGCTGAGCAGGGACCTGGAGCAGAGAGGGGTGGGGGTCCACAGCCTCTGCTCCCACAGACATGGGTTCTGAGTTGGTGGGCAGTCAGAGTGGGCACCTGGGCCATGGGAGTGCAGCCCCATCATGCTGGCCAGCCCAGCAGCCCTCCTGCCTGGAAAGGGATCTTGGAGAGACCCCGCGGTAGCTCTGGTGGTCGCCACTATGCTGACGTGTCCCGGCATGTCCCTGCACCCTGGGCTGATGGACACTTACGCTCCCGTCCCCTAGAGTCCTGACGAGGACATCAACTCGGTGACGCGAGTCCTCGTTGCTCTGGAGATGTACTCCGGCAATGGGCTGGGCCTCATGGACTTCACCGTGCCCCCCTTGGCCCAGGTAGGCGTCCCCCGACCCAAGGCCGCGGCTCCGACTCAGAGCCAGGGTCAGGGGGCCTTGCGTGAGGGGGCAGACTTGGCGCCTTGTGGAGCGACCCCATCCTCGTCACAGCGCTCGGCTGCATCCCGCAGGGCACCTGAGTTTGATGCCACGTGGGAGCTCCCCTGTGTGCCTTCTCCATGCTAACAGATGCCCCTTCTCCCTGCCCCCCCGGGAAGCTGGTGCAGATGGCTGCCGAGTGCCGCTGGTCGGACCCCCTGGTGGAGCTGCAGACCCTCATGCGGCTGACCCACTTTGCGCACGCGGCGCACAACTACGAGCTCACCGTGCTTTGCTCGCGGAAGGCCGTCCAGATGGGCATTCGGTACCTGAGGGTGTGTAGCCCGTAAGTAGCCTCCTAGCACGGGACTCCTGGTGTCCTGATGATCCCCCAGAGGTCAGGAGGGGCACGTGGGGTGTTCATGTCACACGTTGTGTGCAGCACCGAGGAATAAGGAGGGCAGAGGTCACAGCGCGAGTGCCAGCCCCTCACCAGGCCCCGGCTTATCCCAGCCAGTTTCCCAGCCTGTGCACCCACGCCACCTCCGCCTGCCCACTCCGTCAGCCAGGACGGCCTCAGCAGCCATGGCCCCCGAGAGCTGTGTCCAGGGCCCTGAGGCCTCACCAGCCTCCCCGGTTGTGACGTGACAGGCACGGAGGCGGAAAGGGGCTCCCGGATCAGCTGTCTGCCTTTCCTGAGGGACCCTGAGCTTTGATTCCGGTAACTGTGACTAGGCCACATACATTCAGGGGTCGCTGCCCGCTCCCCGCTCCCCACAGGCCACGGTGATGCTGAGACTTTCCCTACTTGTGAGTGTGAGGCTGTTCCAAATCTGTGGCTGTTGGAAATGTTTCTGAGGTAAAGACAGCTTCCCTTGAGGTTCTTTTCGGGTTATTTCCTGAAAACAATGAAATCACCGACCCAAGGGTATGAAGACGTTCGTGGTGGCCAAACAGCAGGTCTGGTTGTCCAAGGCCAGATCCCAGGTGCGCCTGCCAGCCCTGTGGCCCCAGCCTCGGGCCGCGGCCCCATCTCAGGCTGCCTGACGCAGCAGCGTGATTGGTAGTTGGCGGGTGGTCTGTCCCTCACTCCGAATCCCAGGGACGGGGACGCATCCACCATATCTCAGCGGCAGCCGCACAGCCTGCATCAGACACGCCCGATGTGTATTTGGGGGCCAACAGGTGAATGCCACCTGAGGTGTCTTCACACCACTGACCAGCCCGGGCCAGGGCCTCAGCACAGGGGCCGGCAGAGGCTGGTGCACCATGGGCACGGTGTGCCCGAAGGGCTCTGCAGTATTGCCTCGTTCACTCCCAGGAGCAGCTTTCTGGTAGGCACCATGGCTCCCACTTTGATGGGAGAAACTGAGGCAGGTAGAGGCCAAACCACTGGCCTGAGGCCACCCTGCTGGCAGGTGCAGAGCTGGGATTGGACCCAGGCGTCTGGTTCTACAAGCCCACGTTCCCAGAGACCACTGGACATTGCCTCTCGGATGTGAGCATGGCACCCACTCTGTCAGCAGGAGCACACTGGAAATTTCCAGAAGAGTCAGCCGTGGTCCCTGTGAGTGCATGTCCCCGAAACGGGCGCAGCACAGGGTGACCAGAGCCCCCAGGCCATGGGGCAGCAGGACAGGCTCCCCCATTCTGAGAGCCTACGTGAGCACCAGCTGCTCCGAGAACAGAAGACAGAGTCTCGTGCTTCAGCCGCCAACTTTCTGTTATACCCCTTCCCCCGGGGTGGCCACAGCGTGGTGACCGGGCTTGGGTGGCGTGTGCCCACCAGGGCCTGCCCTCCTCAGACGGGACGCTCTAGTGCAGAGGCTTGGCGTGGGGGAGTAGCAGGTCGAGGCAGGAGACCCAGCGTGAAGAGGAATTCTGGCCACACGGGGGCACAGGAAGCCCGCTCTGGGGGCAGCCAGGGTGGGGAGGGGGTGGACACATGGCCATAAAGTCCTGCTGGGGGGCTGCAGGCACTGGCCCAACCAAACGGAGAGCAGAGCAGGTGACAAGGTGGCCCCGCAGGGAAAGTCAGGGTGGATGCCTAGGACCCTGGGCTGCACGACACGTCAAGACAGGGCCGCCCCTGAGGGAGCCCCTGCACCTCTGAGGCCCAGGGGTCACTAGAAGCCAAGGCATAGGCCTCCAGAGTGCCCAAGCCGTGAATATCTGTTGGGATGAGGTGGAGCTGGATGAAGTTTCCCCACGAGAGAGGAGGAAAGGTGGGCGGACGGAGGGCAAGGGCTCTTGGAAAGTGGTAGGAGCCGGCAACCTACGGGCATGCAGTTGACTAAGCCCCTCGAGGAGCTGAGCGTTTGGGACATGTGCCTGCCAGCCTTGCCCAAGATGCCTGTGCCCACCGTCCCCCAGCCGTGGGGATGTCTGAAAGACTCCCTGGGAAAGCAAAGGTGATGATGGGGCCTGTCGTTTCTCACCACCAGCACTGAGGGCCTTTCCATCATGAGTGACCCTTCCTCCAAAACAGTGTGGACTGGTTTTGGTGATGGTGTATTTGACGGTGTCCAGAGGCTAGACATTATCTTTTCTCAACAATCTGTAATAAGAGTAACTTTGCAACTTCCCACCCAGGCTTACCGTATAGCAGGTGGGGACGGAGAGGCAGTCTCTGGCCAAGCAGCTTGAGGGCTGCAAGGAGGCTGCATGCTGCTGGCCTCAGCCCACGCCAGCACCAATGTGCTGAGACAGGATGTGCAGTAGCCTGGACAGAGCACCTGGCTGCTGCCGGAAGTCTGGCCCTGGGCAGGGCGTCAGGGGTGCCCCACTCGCCACCAGCTCTCCGCCAACCAGCGTAAGGCTATGCCCATCAGCAGATGGGCCGAAGCCATGTACCGAGAGCTCCCCAGCAGCATCTTAGCCACACTCTTAAGTAGGGAAAATTACTCTGATGCACGACTGCACAACGATCAGAGAACATCAAGAAAACCCCTCAACATATCTGAAAAGGTGCAGCATTTAAGAGGTAAAGTACAGTGTTGCTGTGGAAAAGGAATAATGAAGGACCGAAGATCTCTTGAGCATAAATTCCGTGAGGAAATCTCACAGGAAGTAGATGAAGAAGGACAGACGTACAGAAAGCATGACAGAAGCCAGAAGACACGTGGGACATTTAACTTTTGGAACTCCAGAAGGAGCAGAGAGTGCTCTTGAGAAAGTAGTTTGAGTGGGGCGTGATGAGGAGAGGCCCCAGGCACACGGCCCACCTCGTGAGCGGCCCTGCCACCAATGAGCAGCAAGGGGAGCGAAGAGACCCTTACGTGCAGACCACGGGGACACATCGAGTCACCACAGATGGAGGGTCCAACAAGGTCGCAGGAGACAGAAGTGTGACAGCCTTCTGAGAACCCATCACTGGAAGGTAGAGGAAAAATGGAGCTTTCTAGGTGGAAATAATTTTGAGCCTAGAATTCTAACTCACCCAAACTTTCAGTCAAGTCTATGGGTGTAGAAAGCCATTTTTAGATGGACAGAGACCTAGAATATATATGTCCCACACACCTGTTTTTAGAAAGTTCCTTGAAGGATATGCTCTAGAAAAACAAGGGAATAAGCCAAAAAAAGAGAACTATGTGGGATGTTGGAAATAATAGATTCAACCCAGAAAAGTTGTCCAGCTGCACTGCTAGCTGAGAGAGCCACCTGTCTAAACTGGAGCAGGATGGAGGAGGGCCTGGCGAGTTAAGGGCAGGGAAGACAGACGACCCAAGGTGTTGTGATAAAGGAAAATAATACAATGGAGAAAAAGCCAGTTGGAAACTCCAGAAGACACGTAAGTCATACACAGCTTGACTCCTCAGTGAAAAACATTTGCGTTATCACGGTGTTCACTGATACTTTAGTTTTAGGATTAACATTTTGACAAAGGAAACCTCTTTATGATTACTTAGCAAAAGCTAACTGTTACCAGTTTTGACAATACAAAAGTAAAAGTGCAGACGACATGCTTTAGTGGGGGAGGGGCGTGTCCGGAAGGGAGGAGAATGTGATCACGTCCTTGCCTGAGAAGGTGAGCAGTCAAGTGTACCGGCTCAGGGTCCTCAAGACCTGGAGCTAGTATAGTACTTTAAGGTACAAAGACGATAAATAGGGGAATTAAAATAATGTTGTAATCAGCCGTATTCATAAGTTGGAGGGGCTGAGTAATTTAAGCTTCCATGGATCATTGTAAGAGTTCCACGGGGGACGTGTGAAGTTGGTGTGTTGGGAATCAAGTGAAATGCCAGGGTTTTAGAGGCTAGCGCATGCCTACTGGAGGACCGGGCTGGGTATTTAGAAGTCATTCCCTCTGGGGAACAGCACTGGGAGCCAGGTAGGAGGTAGTTATTCCTTACCATGTGCAGGTGCCACTTTGATAACAATTCAGAAGTTATTTTGAAAAGAGAAACTGCAAAGACATTGTTACAGGAGTTCGTACGTGAGTGCTGCTGCGTTAGTCCTTCTGTAGTTGGGCTAAAACGTCCTTCGCTGCTGGCCGAAGGCTGGTCAGGAGGACGGGGCAGGTAAGGAAGTATGTGTGCCCTGGCTTTGCCATTCTTCATCAGTGATTCTTTTTTTTTTTTTTTTATCACAGAGTGACTTTATTTTTTTAAAAAGATTTTATTTATTTGACAGAGAGAGACACAGTGAGAGAGGGAACACAAGCAGGGGGAGTGTGAGAGGGAGCCCCATGCGGGGCTCGATCCCAGGACCCTGGGATCATGACCTGAGCTGAAGGCAGACGCTTAACGACTGAGCCACCCAGGCGCCCCTTCATCAATGATTCTTAAATTGAGTTTTATTTTAGAATGATAAATCTTATACTAAGATAAAAATATAAATATATACATAGAGTAATAGGGAAATACAGGTACTATAAAAATTTAATTTCCACGTTGACTTTTGAAAACATTTGTAGAACGTCGCTGTCCTCTAGTGGTCACCACTGTCACTGCATGTGGTGGAATTGCCCATCTAGCCTGGCTTTGACTGGGGTTCTGGCCGTTCATCCAACCACAGCTGGGTGCTAGCTGTGTCTAGGAATGCTACTCCGTGCTAGGCGGCTGGAGGGACACACAGCAGTGGTCCTTGGTTCTGTAAGAGATGCCACACTTTGTAGTGATCTTGCTGGGCACTCAGAGCACTGGACCCTGTGCCTGGGCAAGCAGGATACATGGTCACACTCAGCCACATGGCATGCACTGCAGATGATTTTTTTTTAATTACACATATTTCAAATTTTTGTGCTAATTTTTCCATTTTGCAAGTTATATGAAGAAACTCTAGTGTGGAATTTGTCACAGAGTAATTTTATAATAGCACTTCACATTAAATAGTAAAAATAATTTTTAGTTCTTGGTGAAAAATAATACAGTTACTAATCAATTACTATTTTCACCTCTGAGTGTTTAGTACCAGAATAATTTTCACATTCACACTATCAATGTAAAGGAATATACATTAATAAGATATTTCATGTGGATCCCTAAAATAGACACAAAATAGGTTAAAAAGAAGTAGTCTACGAATATTTGGGACATTTCTACTTGGTTCAACATTTTTATTTAACATAATCATGTTGGGTCTTCATAGAAATTTGAAAGTCCCTTTTCTACATTTCTGGCCACGATACAGTAACAGATAATATACTCTTGTTCTACAAAAAAGAAAAAAACTGTAAAGCTCAACAAAATACATGAAATAATCATTTTCAGGCATTGGACCACAGATGGTCCAAAGCAGAAATTTTTGCAAGAAGGGAACATCAAAAGTGGGCTGTCTCTACATTCACCCTTACTTTCTTCCAGGTGGGGTTGGAGGACTGTTCAATTCCAGCGCTGGGGAGTGGAGCCCAGACAGAAAACTTACTGGGGTAAAACAGGGATCCATGCCAGGCGCTGCTGAGGCAGCTGACATTTACAGGATATGATGTGAGAGAGGAGGTTACTGGACAGAGCATGTGTGCTCACAGGCACTGAAGTGTGGTCTCTAAGCTAAAAAGAGATGGTAGAATTGACCAACAAGAGTCAGGGAGGCTTCACTGAACTTGCCAGGCATTCAAAAAGATCACACCTTAGGAATAGGGCTATAAGGGCTACCGTAGACTTGCCCTAAAAAGTCTCATTCCAATCTTGATAAGATAAGCTGAGCCACCAGTAAATTAACTGCCTGTCAGAACAAAACCCAACCTTCTTTTATTTATTAAGATTTTATTTATTTGACAGAGACAGACACAGCAAGAGACGGAACACAAGCACGGGGAGTGGGAGAGGGAGAAACAGGCTTCCCGCCTGGCAGGGAGCCCGATGTGGGGCTCGATCCCAAGACCCTGGGATCATGACCTGAGCTGAAGGCAGACGCTTAACGACTGAGCCACCCAGGCGCCCCACCCAACCTTCTTTTAAAGGAAGGCAACATCATCCACACTCCCAACAGTATACTTTCAACAATATAGCCCTTACAGTGTCCAGCATAAGATAAAAAATTACTAGACACATGAAAAAACAAGAAAATGTTCTCCCATACCAGGAGATAACACAGTCAATAGAATAGAAACATTTGGACGCCTGCGTGGCTCAGTGGGTTAGGCATCTGCTTTCAGCTCAGGTTGTGATCCCAGGGTGCCGGGATTGAGCCCCATGTCGGGCTCCCCACTGAGTGGGGAGTCTGCTTGTCTGTCTTTCTCTCCCCTCTCCCCTGTTCCTGCTCACACTTTCTCTCTCTCTGAAGTAAAAATAAACTTCTATTCTATTTTTTTTAAAGATTTATTTATTTTTACTTCAGAGAAACTGTCAACGGACCCATATATGACACAAATTTTGGAGTTAGCAGACAACAAATTTAAAATTTAAATTAAAACAACTATTATAAATACAAGAATATATTTTTAGTGGAAAAACTAGTATACAAGTGGGGAATTTCAACAAAGAAATGAAAACTGTAAGAAAGAACTAATTGGAAATTCTAGAACTGACAAATTCAGTATCTGGAAATATTACTGGGAGAGCTTAATGTCTGAACACTGAAAATGTGATAAGTAACTCTGAATGCAGGTCAACAGAGTACTGAAACCAAAGCACAGGGAAGACAGAAACGCAAAATGAACAGAACTTTGGCAACATGTGGGGCATAATCAAGTGGCCTAACACACATGTAATGGGAGTCTCAGGACAGAGGCAAGAGAGGGAGGCAGAAATACACATATTTGAAGATAGACTAGTTTACATTTTTTCAAATTCAGTTAAAAACATCAACCCAGAGATCCAAGACTTTCAATGACTCCAGGCAGGATAAACACAAAGAAAACCACACCTATTTTCACTCTAGCCAGATTGCTGCAGACCAAAGGTAATGAGAAATCATTAGAAAGAAGTCAGAAGGCAAATAGATGCATTACATATAGGAAAGCAAGGTTAAAACTGCAGACTTCTTAGCAGAAACAATGCAGACTGCCTAACACTTTAAGTGATAAAAAAGAAAAGCCTGTCAATCTAGAATTCCATGTCCAAGAATAGCCTTCAGAAAATGAAGGCAAAATCAAGACGTTTTAAGATAAACTAAAGGTAAGATAATCCATTCCTAGAAGAGATGCCAAAAGAAATTCTTCAGGCTAAAGGAAGATGATAGCAGGTGGAAAGCTGGTCCAAGAAGCCATGGAGAATACCCAAAGTGGTGAATGTGTAAGTACATATAAAAGGCTTTCACCCTCAGTTCTTCAGTTCTTTAAAAGACATTTGCCTCTTTAAAACCAAAGTACATTGAATTGTGGGATTATTAATAAATGTAGAAGTAAAATGCATGACCATGATAACACAAATGATAGGAATGAGGTACATAGAAGTATACTGTTCAGAGTTCTGACATGACCTGTGAAATGATAGAACATTAATCCAAGCTAGATTGTGACTAGTTAAGGATGTGTGTTGTAATCTCTAGAGCAAGTCCTAAAACATAATAAAACAAAAAAGTATAACTAAAAATCCAATAGAGGAGACAAAATGGAATGCTAAAAAATATTCAATTAACCCAAAAATGGGGAGGAAAGAAACAACATATGGGATGAAAGGAAAGCAAAGCATAATGGAAGATTCAACCCCAGCCACGTCCATGAATCTACTAAATGTAAATGGACATGGACCAGCCCTCCAGTTAAATATGCAGGGTTTATCCCACTGGAAACAATAAGTAAGACCCAACTAGAAGCTATTTTCAAGACACACTTCAAAAATAAAGACTCAGGTGGCCCATGGAGGGAGTCTGCCCAGGAACCAGTATATTTCTCCTAGAATAAGTCCAGTGCCCCCTGAGTGGGGTTTCAGGGATTTGCTCCCCTCCAGCGCTGGGCAGGGGGTGACATCTTAGTGTACATGGTGTTATATGTGCACAAGCCTCGGTGTGGCTAGGATAGTAAGCACTGAGGGAGAATGGATCTCACGGCGTTCTTGACATTGCTTTGAGTCAGAAACGTATAGGACTGGGCTCTCGGCACACAGTGGAGGCCCTCTGAGACCACACTCACTGGGGCACAGGGAGTGGAGTTCCATTGTTCCTGGTGGTGCTCAGCCATCCTATGTGGGGGGCAGGGCAGAGGGCCTTGTGGTGCTCACCCGTTGCTGCTGCACAACAAAAACACTTTAGAAATGAGTCATTTAAAACACCAGTCCATGACTCTGCGTCACGGTTCTGTGGGTTGACTGGATTCAGCCAGTCAGTTGTGGTTTGGGGCCTTTCATGAGGTTACTGTGGACGCCCCCAGGGCTCGTTCACCTTTCTGCATAGCACCTGTCTCCCCTGAAGAGCCCTCCTGCATGTGAGGCACTTCTCTGTCTCCAGGGTCGAGACTGAACTGGTAGCGGAGATGCTGAGCACCACAGCCTGCATCCAGGGCAGGAGCATCATGGAGAACCTGAAGGGGAGAAAGCAGCTGCGCCTGGTGGCGGCCAAGGCCTTCATAGAGAGCGCCAAGTATGCCATGCTGTGCTGAGTGGTCAGGGGTTTGGGGTGCATACTGTGCATGGGATAAATGGCAACTGCCGGACCATGAAATGAAGGACACGATGCTCAGTGGGGACTGTCACTAAGGCTGGCTCTCCCTTGGTGACCCCATGGCCAGAGCTATCTCACCCTTTGTGGTGACCCCCCACCCCACCCCCTTGGGCATGAGTGGGTCACCACAGGCCACGTGGCCATCAGAGGGAGGGAGCATACATGTCATGGGGTATTCTGTGGCACCCAGCCCCACCTCCTCCCCTGTAAATCCAGAAGCCTCACATATTGCTGCTGTGTTGTCCATCCATGTCTACACCTCTCCAGGTCAGGAATTCCCTTTCAGGTTTGGGGGCATTGCGAGGAGCAGCGCCCTGGTGATGCTGGCCGTGAGGCACTACTGGAACACCTGGCTTCCGTTCCTGTCCTCTGCAGCCAACAGGAAGAAAAACAAGAACGTCATACAGAGGATCATCAGCATCATCAATAAGACAGAGGCGAAAAAGCAGGTGTGCTGTGTGGGGCCACAGTGGGGCAGGCTTCTTCCAGAAAGGGTGGGCAAGATCCCAAGGAAAGACAGACCCCATGGAGCAGTTGAAACCAGGAACATGAAGGCCAACAGAGTGGGGGGCCTGGAGGACAGTGACATCTCCAAAATCCCAGCTGGGCAAAATCCCACCTCTCCTTCCCTCCTCTCCTAGAGAACGCTGACCCATACCCAGAAAGCTCCAGCAGGAGAGAGGAAAGGACCGAGGAGGTGGGAACAGAACAGTAGACTCAGACAGATGAGGAAAACCACAGAAGAGCCAAAGTCCTGGCCTGACTCTGCCCCACACCCACCCCATCACCAGCACGTGTGGTCTTGGTAAAGGGACTGTCTCTGGCTAGCTCCCTCTGTCCACCTGGCCCCAAGGCCGGCAGAGCTGGGCCCAGACTCAGCTTGAGAGGGTGTGTGGAGGTCAGTGAGGGCTGCCCCACCTGCCTGCTGACCACATATGTCCTGTGCACATCCTGGAGATTTCCAGCCCCAGGACTCGGCTACCCACAGAGCTTCCAGCACCTTTCCTATCTGCCAGGGAAGGCCACACTCATACCTATGAACCTGCGGTTTTCAGCAGGGCCCTTCTGAAGGGAAGGCCTACAGGTCATAGGCTTTGGCAGGCAGAGGTCTGTGATCAGACCGTCTAGGACGAACAGAGTTTCTTGAGCCCTCAGTCCAGCCCACATGTCCAGCGAAGCCCCAGAGGCCAGCATCCAGATAAGCTATGGGAGGTTTGGCGGGGATAGGACGAGATGCAGGAGCCACCCTCTATGCTGATTCCAGAGCTGGGCCTTCCCAAGGCTGTCCCTGGCCCAGGACACTGCTATTCAAGAGACAGCAAGAAGAAAATTGAAAATCATAGCCTCATATAAGAAATTGGTTGATGCTTTCGATTTCTTACTAAGATATTTATGACCTCTGATAGTCTAAGCCAGAGGTAGGCAAACCACCACCCATGAGCCAAATCTAGCCTGTCTCCTGTTTTTGTCAATAAAGTTTTATTGGGACAGAGCCATGCCTGTTCATTTACATCTTGTCTGTGGCTTGGCTACAACAGCAGAATGGAGTAATTGTGACAAGACCATGTGACCCGCAAAGTCACAAGTACTTACTATCTGGCACTTTACAGAAAAAGTTTGCCAAGCCCAGGTCTAGACATTTATAAAACTTAACCTAAAGTTCAGTTTTTGCCAATTTGCTTTTTAAAACTGTGGTAAAATATACATAATTTAATATTTACCATTTTAACCATTTGAAAGTATACAATTCAGTGACCTTAATTATATTTACAATGTTGTATGACCATCACCAGTATCTATACCTGAAACTTTTTCATCATCCCCAACAAAAACCCTGTCCCCATTAGACAACAGCTCTGCTTTCTGTCTCTACGAATGGGACAACCCTAGGTTCCTCATATAAGTGAAATCATACAGGATTTGTCCTTCTGTGTCTGGCTTATTTCACTCAGTATAGTGTCCTCAAGGTTCATCCATGTTGTAGTAGGTGTCAATATTTCCTTTCTTTTTATGACTGAATAATATCCCACTGTATGGATGGACCACATTTTGTTTATCCATTCATCTGTTGATGGACATGATTGTTTCAACCTTTTCACTGTTGTGAATAGTGCTGCTATGAACTTGGGTGTACAAGTATCTCTATGTCCCTGATGTCAGTTCTTTTGGGCATATACCTAGGAGTGGAATTGCTGGGTTATATGGTAGTTCTGTGTTTAATCTTTGGAAGAAATGCAAAACTATTTTCCGCAGCAACTGCACCATTGTACATTCCCACCAGCACATCCTTGTCAACTCTTGTTATTTCCCATTAAAAAAAAATTATACTCATCCTAGTAGGTGTAAAGTGGTACCTCATTGTGGTGGGGTTTTTTTTTTTTAAGATTTTATTTATTTATTTGAGAGAGAGAGAGAGCAAGCACACAAGTGAGGAGAGGGTCAGAGGGAGAGGGAGGAGAAGCAGACTCTCCGCTGAGCAGGGAGCCCACTGTGGGGCTCAATCCCAGGACCCTGGGATCACGACCTGAGCCAAAGTCAGATGCTTAATTGACTGAGCCACCTAGGTGCCCCTATACCTCATTGTGGTTTTGATTTGCATTTCCCTGATGACTAATGATATTGAGCATCTTTTTCATGTGCTTATTAGCTATCTGCATATTTTCTTTGGGAAACATCTGTTCAAGATCCTTGCCCATTTTTGAACTGGTTTGTTTTTTGTTGTTAAGTTGTAAGAATTATCTGTATATTCTGGATATTAATCATTATCAGACATAAGATTTGCAGACTTTTTTCTACATTTGTTTGACTCCCTTTTCACTCCCTAGGTGGTATCCTTTGATGCATAAAAGTTCTTAATTTTGATGAAATTCAATCACTTTTTTCTTTTCGCCTAAGTTTTGGTGTCACATCCATGGAGTCATTGCCAAATCCAATGTCATGAAGGATTTTTCCAGTGTTTTCTTCTAAGGGTTTTATAGCTTTAGCTCTTATGTTTAGGGTCCCCCCCCTTTGAGTTAATATTGGTATATACTGTAAAGCAGGGGGACAATTTTATTTCATTGCATGTGAAAATCCGGTTTCCCCAGCACCAGTTGTTGAAAAGACTGTTCTTTTCCCATTGAATGATCTTGGCATCCTTGTCAAAAATCATTTCACCATATATGTGAGAGTTTTTTTCTGAGCTCTCTCTTCTATTCCATTGGTCTGTATGTCTGTCTTGATGCCAGGACCACACTGATTTGATTACCATAGCAAATTTTGAAGTCAGGAACTATGAGCCTTCCAACTTTATTAATCCTTTCTGAGATTGTTTTGGCTACTTGGGGTCTCCTTACAATTCCACATGAATTTGAGGATTGGCTTTTTCATTTCTTCCAAAAAGGGTGTTGGAATTTTGAGAGGGGTTGTGTTGAATCTGTAGATCACTTTGGGTGGTATGTACAGTTTAACATTTTTAAGACTTTCTCTCCACGAACATGGATGTTTTTCCATTCGTATAGGTCTTCCTTAATTTCTTTCAAGAATGTTTTCATAGTTTTCAGCAGATACGTCTTTCACCTCTTTGGATGTATTTAATTCTTTTAGGTGCTAGTATAAATGAAATTGCTTTCTGTCTTAGCTTTCGCTGCCATAACAAAATGCTGGGTGACTGGGTGGCTTAACAGCAGAAATTTGTTTCATGTTCTTCTGGAGTCTGGATGTCCAAGACCAGGGAACTAGCGTGATCAGGTTCTGATGAAGGCCCTCTTGGGTCTTGCATCCATCTGCCTTCTTGCTCTGTCCTCCTCTGGGGGCAGTGTGGGGACAGACCAAGATCTCTGCTGTCTTGTCTTGTGGGGACCCTCCCCTCAGGGCCTCATCTAATCCTAATTACCCCCTAAATAGCAGCATGCTGGGGACGAGGGCTCCTACATGTGAATTTGGTGGTGGTGGTCGGGGGGACACAAGTAAGTCCCCAGCACTTTCCTGGTTTCCTTTCCAGATTGTTCATTGCTGATACATAGAAAAACAACTGACTGTTGTATCATGTCCTGCAGCTTTGCTAAATTGCTTTATTAGCTCTAATGATTTTCTTGGGGATTCTTTGGGATTTTCTATATATAGGATCATGTCATCTGTGAATGGAGAGAGTTTTACCTCTTTTTTCTAATTGGGATACCTTTTATTCTTTTTCTTGTCTATAAATCTGGCTGGAATTTCCAGGAGAATCTTGAACAGCAGCAGTGAAAGCAGGCACCCTCATCTTGTTCCTGATCTGAGGAGGGAGCTTCAGTTGCTCATCACTGAGCACAATGTCAGCTGTGGATTTTTGATAAATACCCTTTATGTGTTGAGAAATGTTTCCATTATTCCTAGTTTTCTGAGATTTTATGATGAAAAGTTTTGGATTTTGTCAAATACCTTTCTCCATCAGTTGAGATAATCATGTAGTTTTTCTCCTTCATTTTATTAATGTGATGGAACCACCCTTGTATTTCTGGGTTGAACCCCACGTGGTCATGGTGAATAATATTTTTACTGTACTGTTGGATTTTATTTGCTAAATTTTATTGAGGATTTTTGCCTCATCTCTATTCATAAAGGATATTGGTCTGTGATTTTTCTTGTGATGTGTTTGTCTGGATTTGCTATCAAGGTAATGCTGGTGTCAGAATAAGCGTGGAAGTATTTCTTCCTCTTTAGTGTTTTGAAGAGTTGAGAAGGATTAGTGCCAATTGTTTAGACATTTGGTAGAATCCACGCATGAGCCACCGGTTCCAGGACTTTTCTTTATTGGACGGTTTGTGATTATTGATTCAGTCTCTACTCGACGTTTGTTGAGATTTTCCATTTCTTGTTGAGTCAGCTTAGGCAATGTGCATGTTTCAAGATTTTGGCCCATTTCTCCTGGTCTTCTAATTTTTGGTGCACACTAGCCCACAGGGTTCTCCTAGAATCCTTTTTATCTCGCCAGGGTTGGTGGTAATGTTCCCACTTTCACTTCTGATTTTAGTGTCTTCTTTCTTTTTTTCTCTTTGTTAGTCTTGCTAAAAAGTTTGGTCAATTTTCTTGATCTTTTCATTGATTTTCTCTGTTATTTTTCCAATCTCTGTTTTGTTTATGTGTGCTCTAATCTTTATCTGCCTTCTGCTGGCTTTGGGTCTAGTTTGTTCTTTTTCTAGTTCCTTAAGGTATAAAGTTAGGTTCTTGATTTGAGATCTTTCTTCTTTTTCCATGTAGGCATTTGCAGCTATAAACTTCCCTCTGAGCACTGTGTTCGCTGTATCTTACAAGTTATTTATTTATTTATTTAGAGCATGCACAAGCAGGGGGAGGGGCAGAGAGAGAGAGAGGGAATACCAAGAAAACTCCCTGCTGAGCATGGAGCCTGATGTGGGGCTCGATCCTAGGACCCTGAGATCATGACCTGAGCTGAAATCCAACAGTCAGATGCTTAACTGATTGAGCCACCCAGGCATGCCTCTTATAAGTTTTTCTAATGTGCTTTTGGTCCCATTGATTTCAAGCTCTAAAATGGATTTGGTTGCTTTCTGTCATTAAAAAGCTGCAGGCTATGTTGGAGGTGGTCTCTCTGTGTGTGGTCTTATATGCCCTGGGGAGCTTTCTCTTCTGGGTGAAATGTGACTTCACGTTTTATGACTTAGTATTTCAGAAATTTAGTTGCAATTTCTGTAATTAGATATGGAGCCAAATAAACATCAAAATGGTAAAAGAATAAATTGCAACTTTCATATATATATGTATTGTTTCTTTATTTTTACTTCAGGGAAAAGGGAAAGTGCTGCTTCTGCACCAGTGGCCTACGGCAGACTTCCACAGTGGAGGGATGACAGAAGGTCATTTTCTCCCAGGTTTGTAGACACAAGACAGACGTGGCCACCAGCACAAGGAAAGGGAAGTGTTGAGTGCTGAGAGTTCCTGCCGCCTCGTATGGAGCCGCTTAATCAGGACAGTGACCACAGAGAGTGAATGCTCGGTGCTTGGGGTGTGATAAGCAACAGCTTCATGGAATCCCCATTGTGTGCACAAGGACACCAAAGCCTAGAGGCCCACTGTCCAGGGCCCCCTGGGTCAGGGCAGGTACTCTCAGCCTAGGGGCTGCCGTGAAACCCAGCCTCTGGGTTACTCTGGCAGATAGATCATACTCTTCCACTTCCTTAAAAAAATGTGGAGATGTAGACTTGCAAAACAAAAACAAAACACAAACTGAACTTAGAACAGTAAAACTATATTTAAGAATTCACGTTTAATTCTGCTAAAAAGATAATCATCCCTGTTACCATAAGAGACGCAGTGTCTGTTGGGGAGTGTAAATGCTGGGGATTAGGACAACAGTCTCCCCTCCCTGAGAACTTCAGGTCTATTTGGAGAGATAAACTTGACTTAAAATAATGAACAAAAAAATATGACCATGTGTAATTAAATATTAAGTTGAGTACTAAACCCCAACAGTTCCCATAGATGGCAGAAACTGGCGCCTGGTGCAGAGCTTGTCTGCCTGCTAGAATACAGCACCACTGGGAGACGTGCAGGTTGAGTGCACGCTGAACTCCACGCCCCAAAATAAGCACCAAACGTCAAATAGGGTAAGCAGTTGAGTAGCAGTAAAAATTCAAAACGTGTAGGGGAAAAATCAGAAAGTAGAATTGAGCATAGCAAGTGTTTTGTGGGAAGATTACTTCTTAAACTTTAAAGTGAGCAAAGACTCACATCTTCAAATGTACAAAAATTTAAATAATGAGAATAATGAGAAATATAGAAAATTAAAAGTAAACACTGGGAAAATATTTTCACCAAATTTGGGAGCTAAATGAATAACTTCTGTGAGATGTAGTCGTATTAGTCAGGATGGGCTATGCCGTGCTGCGGTAAAAAAGTAGCCCGAGAGTTGAGAGGCTTGGCTCCACACAGCACTGGTCTCCCTGGTGGGGACTTGCAGGCCTCCCTGGATCCCAAGGCCCCACCTGGCAGGACCTGCAGGGGCAAGTGGAGGAGGAGGAGGGTCCCAGTGCCCACAGGCGATGGCTGGCAGGGTCTCTGCCACAGGCCTCCATGGGTGGACTGGAAAAGAAGTCACTGTTCAAAGACATGAGCATGACTGTGGATCGGGGAGGATGCTGCTCCTTGGCATGGATCAGGGAGAGGCAGAGGAAAGGCAGGACCCCTGAGCTAGTCAGGACGGAAATGACAGACAGCAGCAGCCCTTGCTACCCCAGTCTCAGAGGTTGACCAGCTTGTCCGGTCGTGTGCCTGAATCTACCTGCTCCTGGGCGTGCATAGCAGGGACACCTGTACACTGAGACCCCACGCACTGGCTGTGAAGAGGCCACAGGGGGCCCACAGGTCCCACGCGATGTGGCATGTGGGTGGCAGGATCCCCAGGCATGCTCTTCATCTGCTCCAACAATTCAAAACAGGGAAAGAAAGCTACACGGTCAATGATATAAAATAGAGCCCTCTGAGTGTCTTGTACCCACGGCGGGGCCTCTGCTCACGTGGGACAATGGGGCACTGAAGCTCGGCAGTGCTGTGGTGTGTTTGGTGGCAAGTCAACAAGACGGCTTGGTCTCTGTCCCTCCGCAGGGTGCTTCCACTCCTAACGGTGCTGGCTAAGGCTGTCAGGAACGGATTCTTCTTCCCTCGTGCTCACAGTGTCTATTTTTAGAATTACAGAAGACTAACAGGGCTTGGAGGTCGCAGAGTTTGAGCAAGCTTAAGTGGGGGGCGGGAGGTGCTCTGGAAGCACGTGGTGGAGAAAGCTCAGTGGGGTGGCTGCAGGGACAGTGAGCCCCTGATGAGCCTCTTCTGAGTGACCGGGCCTCAAGGACTGATGTCGTGCGGCCCTGCTCCCCGCAGACAGGCGGCGTGTTGGCCGGAGGGTGGTTGTTGGGCCGACACGGTTGCTGATGCACAGGACAGACGCAGTGCACTTGCCCTTTGGTACGTCCACAGCCTCGGGGGTGGTGCTGAGAGAGCTCCCCGGGCACCCCAGCCTTGCTGTCCACACAGGCCCCTCTCAGACTGCCGAGCATCTCTCCCACTGCAGGTGCTGAGGACGACCTGACGCTCCGTGCCGCGCTCTACGGCCTGCTCTTCCACTGCCACGCTGACCATGGTGACTGGGAGGGTGGCCTCAAGGTGCTGGACGAGGCTGTGCAGGTGCTGCCACGGACGGCACACCGCCTGTGAGTGCTCCTCCCCTCCGGGAGCCCCGCCCTCCCAGGGACCCCCCCCGCCCAGAACACCCAGGACCCCTCACCTGTCTGCACCGCTCCCAGAGAGCCGCCCTCCCCTGCTCGCCCCACTGGTGCCCACTGCCACGTTCCCATTTCCATGGATGACTTTATTTCCCCACTGGGAATTCAACACAAGAAGGGTGGGGATTTAAAACACAACACACGCAAATGCCAAGGAACTGAGGTTCCATTCTGTTTTGTCTTTGTGAGTAGGAAAATGGACACAAATTCCTTAGTTTTAGGAGCATTATCTGTATTTGTTTATCATTCAAGCATTAATTGCTCTCTTTTGCTTCTTTCTAGCTTGATTTTTAAACATATGGTCATTGTGAAGGCCAAACTTGGCCAGAATTTTACAATGGAAATACAGAAATTCAAAGACGAAAGCGAAGATTATTTGGCACACATGTGGCACCGTCTGGCCTTGAACTCGAAGAGTGTCTACGGAGAGCTGGTCTGCTACCACAACGCCATCCAAGCCTTGCAGGTCTGACTGAGGAGCTTTGGGTGGTTGTGACTCAGCTTCTCGGGTATAGATGTGGCCCCGTGGAGGGAGGCTGAGCCCCTGGGCAGCTGCGTGGGAGGCACCCCAAGGAAGACCTCGACCAGCAGAGGAGCCATGGGAGGGGATGTGCCTTTCTGATGAGTCAAGAGCAGTAGACAGATGCCTGTCTTCTGTCGCCCCTTCCCAGCGTGGAGGGATGAGGTCCTCGTGTGGGTGGGGTGCCGTGTTGCTACAGGGGAGATACTGTGGGGGGAGTGGGTGAAGCCCACCCAAGGGGGGGGACGCCCGAGGCTGGACTGGGCTACGGACGGAGCAGGGCTCTGCAGCCTTCTGAGACTCCCCTCCCGAACCAGAACCAAGACAGATTGTGAGTGACGTGGGGGCAGATTCAGGGGAGGGGAGGTGCCTGGTGTGGCGGCAGGTGGGAATTGCGGAAGGACAAGGAAGCCCTGTCAGGCGCACCAGCACCAAATATCTGTTACACAGAACGTCTGTGTGGTCAACGCTGAGTGGTCAATGAAGACGAAGGTCCCCACCAGGTTCACTGGGACCAGGCAGCATGGACCCCGGCACTCCAGAGAAAGGCACCAGGCTCCTTGCAAAGGCTCTCTGTCCCCCCGACCCCAAGTCCCTTCCTCCCTTGCTTACTGTTTCTCAGGGGTGCAAAACGTTTTTAGTAAATACACAGGGTTACACAGCCATCACTATGGTCAACTTTAGAATATTCCATCACAATCCAGAAACCCGGTCCGTCTGTACTCACTGCTCTCCCCACCGCCAGCCCCAGGGAGCCGCCAGTCCACTTTCTGTCCATGAGCGTTTGTCTGTCTGGACATTTCACGAAAGTGCAGTCGCACAAGGTGTGTCTGTTGTGACTGGCCTCTTCCACTTGGCATAACGTGTCCAGGCCTCGTGTGATAGGCTGTGTCTGAGCTTCCTTCACGCTCAGGGCTGAGAGTCTTCCATCAGACGGGTGTTTGTGTTCTTTCCGTGTTTAACTGTTGCGAATAGCGCTGTATGGACACGTGGTCACACTTCTCTTGGGCACAGCCCAAACAGTGTAACTGCGGGGCCCTGTGGATCTCCACCTAACCTTCCAGGAGCACATTCCCACCAGCCGCGGTGGAGAGGGCTCCAGTCTCTCCATGCCTAGGCGACACTGTCACCTGGCCGCCTGGTTCTTTCGTCCTGGCACGTGGCGGTGCTATCTCATCGTGTTTCCTGGGTGACTAATGCATGTATTTTCATGCATGTATTGGCCACGTGTCTATCTTTTTTGGAAAAATGTCTATTCAGATGCTTTGCCCAATTTTTACTTTGGTTGTTTGTCTTTTTATTGTTGAGCTGTAGGACTTCCTCGTGCATCCTGGGCACGACCCCTTATCAGATACAAGACTTGTAAATTTTTTCTCTCTGTGTTGTTTTTTCAGCCACTTTTCCACTTTCTTGATGATGTCATTTGTAGCACAAAAGTTTATAGTTTTGATGAAATCCAATTTATTCTTTTGTTGCTTATGCTTATGGGACGGTATCCAAGAAGCTGTCCCGTAGTCCAAGGTCCACGAAGATCTACTCCTGTGTTTGTTGTAGGAGCTTCATCGCTGCAGCTCCTACACTGAATCTTTGATCCGCTTTGAGTCACACTCTGTGGCTGGTGTGAGCATGTGGCTGCCCTGTTTTCCCAGCCCCATTTGTTGGGAAGATGATGGCTGTGTCATAAACACTCCAGCCCGGCTCTCACCCTCTCCAGCTTTCCTGCAGAACTCTAGCCAAAGCCGTCGAGACAGCCATGGGGGTCCTGAGGCCCCACCTGCCCTGTCCCTGCCCGACAGGCTTCCTTCACTGGGCTCCCACATCTCCCTGCCTCCCGCTCACTCCTCCCTCCCTCACCACTTACTGAGGCTGAGGGCCGGGGCTCAGGCCTCCATCCACAATCCTCTCCCCTTGACGATCTCAGCCAGGCTCCTGGGCTAAACACCACCTCCACCCTGAGTCTCCTCACAACTTAGTGTGTAGCCTGGACCCTCTTCCCCCTCACCTCACATGTCCCACTGCCCACTCCCCTTTCCATCTTACCATGTGTCAACCCAACACCCAAAGTCAAACTCCTGCTCCTCGGCACCACCCTGCCCCTTCCTGCCTTCCCCGCCCCCTACAGATGGCAGCTTCCCCTCCACTTGCCCAAGGGTCAGGTGTGGAGTATGGTGTTTGGGGTGGGGGCGTGGGGCCGGGTGGGTGGAAGGTAGCGGTGCCATCGGCTGGGCTGGCTCTGCTCTGTGAGGGCCGGGGAGCAGCTGCACTCCCTGGTGCAGTGATTTGTGACCCAGTTTGTGCATGGGCCAGGCCTTGGGCTGGACTCTGGGGCTGCCTGCTGGACAGAGCTGCATCTTCCCTGACCCCTGGAGCTCTGGTTAACCACAGAACCATCCAGAAAGTGCCTCACATACACATTTGAATGAGTGCCTTAGGAAACAAAGCTGGGCACAGACTGAAGACAGCCTGACTCAGGAGGCCTGGGGGCCAGGAGGGGCAGGCGGGGCAGGTAGGCCCTCAAAGGGAGTGGAGGGCCCGGAGAGATCTGCCAGGCTTTGGTCTCGGGACAAAACTATCAGCAACGGAAAGGTTCTAAGGAGTGTGGACAGTAGATGTCCCACTAGAGGGTCCCGCCATGGTGGAGGCGGGGTCTGTGCACACACTTGCTTCCAGAAGACACCCTCCGTTTCAGTGTTTGGGGTGCTGACTGGTAAGCACATGTCTCTTCTGTCCTTTTTTGTTTCATCCCAAAGAAGCCAGAGAGCGAGTGGCAAAAAGTTGAGTACATCATGGAATTCAGCGAGTGGCTGTATTACAAACAGTTTCCTATGGAAGACGTGACATTCCACCTGAAGTGGGCGATTGACATCCTGCTGCTGATGACACCTTCCAGTGACACACCTGAGCTAGCAGGTGAGGGTGGGGTCTGCTCTGGTTCAGAGCCGGGCCTGGGGTGGACGTGTCCTCTCGGACCCCTGAGGGGACTTGCAGCCGGGGGAGGAGCCCTGGGATGCAGGGGGAGGGGGGAAGAGCCCTCGGATGCTGGGGGAGGAGCCCTGGGACACCATCCCTAAGGCCTGCCTGGCCCCTGAAGGCGGGTACGCCTTCTAGAAGGGCCCAGTCGGGACATGCTCATGGCTTGGACACCCCTGTCTTGCAGAGGAGCACCTGTCCACTCAGGGAGCCCCAGAAAGTGTAGTGTCCGAGGACGCGGGGTCAGTCCCCTTGGAGAAGCTTCGGAACGTGAGACAGCTGGAGGCGCTGGCTCGCGCCTACACCCTGCTGGCCCTGATGGTGTCCCCGAGCGCGGCCGGCTACGAGGACTACTGCCTCATGGCCTACACGTACCTCAAGCGCATCTGGCAGGTGAGGTGTGAGGCTGCTCCCTGCTCGGTCCCCAGCTCTTGGCAGGAGCCCATGCCTCTCCCTGTAGCCCACGGGCCTTGCCTGCTCGTGCAGCCCACGGAAGAGGGCCCTCACCACGCTGCAGTGGCTGGGGACACTCTTCTCTGAAACCTACCCACCACCCTTGCCCATCCACCACGAAGTACCCCTGGGCAACGGTGCCCGGAGCCTCTGCATGTGGAGGGGACAGCTAGCCCATGATTGCATCTGCCTGCCCTTCAGCAGCCCTGACCCTCCGCTTCCAGAACCTTCTTCTGTGCATCCCTCCTCCCCATCATCTCTTTACAGCGCCCTCCCAGGGCAGCTCTTTGAGCCTCTGGTTCTCGAGGACCTCCTGAGGGCAGTGCCCCGACCCTCCCAGCAATGTGCTGGGGGACAGTGGGGCTGTCACCCCTTGGCAGTGGGAAGAATGGGAGGGACTGGGAAGGCATCCTTGGTCTTCAAGATGCCCCAGCCTACTCTCCCACCGCCCACAAAACAAGGATTCTTTAACACTTCTTTTAGGAGAATGGCTAAAAGTTCTATGTGTTCTCAATTAGAGACATGAATTCACTTCATGGAGCTGACAGGCACTCCTCAGAGGTCAGCTCCGTGTCCCCGCTGGTCCAGCGTCCTGGGGGCTGAGTGTCCCACCCACTGAGGGACGCTGCAGTCACCTGTGAATGGGGCGGGCTCACTGGTGTGGCCCTGGTGCCCGAGTGGACATGACGTTGCCACTCAGAGCCTTAGGACCACTAGCCGCCCCTGAGATTTGAGCAGGTGTGGGAGCGTGTGCACGGCTGTTCTTAATGTTGCAAATCTGGATTTCATTTTTCACAGGTATCTTTATTAACAGCAGGAAAAGCAATTTCAGAAAGTAAAATTCTAGCAGCAACAGCTAGTTCACATTTGTTGTTGCCTAAAAAAGAGAAGGAGAAAGGGAAGGACACGGGGAAGGACACGGGGAAGGACAGAGAAAAGGGCAAAGGCCTCAAGCAGGTACTGTGCACACCTTCGAATATGGGGCTGTGTCTGGGCCCCCGACAGTGGAGGGCCAGGGCCACAGACTGGGGCCACGTGGCTGGGCCTGGACCCACACCCAGGCTGCGGGGCCTATGCCTCAGTGTCCTCTTTTGTAAAGTGGAGGACAACCCCAGGCTGTTAGGAGGGTGGCCCAGGACGTGTGTCTCCTCTCTGGCCGTGGGTGTGCGGGAAGGAGAGCAGCTCTCTGGAGCAGGGGAAAAGAGCCCCCACATCCTGAGGGGCCTGCAGCCCGCACGCGCACCCACGCGGCCGTGCCGGCTGCAGCCGCCGGACAGTCCTGTGTGCGTGGCCGTCCAGAGCGGGCCCTCCCACCGGGCTCCAGCACTATGTCCTCTGTGCGCGTGTCCACACAGCACTGACTGCACGCGGGATGTGCAGGTGCCGGGGTACCGCGAGCCGGGGCACCCCAGGGAGACTCTGGTTTGCACGTGGCAGAGAGCTTTGTGCTCTTACAAGTGATGTCAGAGTGTGTTTTGGCTGTGAAATCGAACGTGGCTCTGGTGTGGGTCACAGGGAGGGTGGCCACGTGCAGGGGCACCATCGGGGCAGAGGCGGCGGGGTGGGGGCCCAGATCCAGGCAGCACTGGGTCCCCGAAGGCGCTGCCTTCTCAGGGCTCACCCCCGTCTGCTCAGGCGGTGCTGATTCTAAAAGAAATCCTGTGTACCTGCTTTACAGCCTCAAACCACAGTTCCTGGCAAACAGCTTGAAGACTTACCCACAAGCATAGAAGAATGGGCTTCCTACTCCTGCCCTGAAGAAGTGATGTCGGTGTTTAAACAAGATAAAAGTGACTTTACCATTAACCCATCAAGCATCCAGAAGCCGGTAAGGCGACTTCAAGCAGTGGTGTGGGCTTTGGTAGGGTGCCAGCCAACCTGCCTTCCGAACCCCGTGTCCCTGCCCCGTAGTAGCCTTTCTGCCGTGAAGTGTATCCAGAAAGCGGGCGACCTGAGCAGGGGGCTTAGTGACTCGTTGAGAAGGAGACACCTGTGTGTGCCGCCGGGGCTGAGGCGCAGAGCACGGTCAGCCCCGGGCCTCCCCCGTCCAGGCCGCCACTCTCCCCAGATGAACTGGCGGTGTCAGTGGGAAGCACGTGCTCCCTGTCGTCATGCAGCCCACCCCGCCCCCCCTCCCCCACGCCAGGAACACGCCTGAACCCAGAAACGCCGCTGTGGGGCAGTGTCTGTGGCTGCGACCCCCCAAGTAACTCACAGAAATCTCTCCCTCTCTGGATTTCCACACTAACCACACTGGCAAGGAAGCCCGTTTGCTTGTGAGGTTCCAGGGATTAGACCCGATGACTTTGGGGACCTTCAGTGCCCACTGCCTTCTGCCTGTCTTTTGTGCTTAAAAACGTGGAAATACTCCTTATAAACCTTTTGTGTTTGGGTTCGTTCGCTTAGTATTTTGTGGGATTTGTCCATGGTCGTCTGTGTCTCCATCACCTGTTGGCTCTCCTGGCTGTGGAGCAGTCCCACGGCCCCTGACTAGACCACGGTCCATTTGCCCGTTCAACACTGGATGACATTCGGGTCGTCTCCAGCTCGTGGCTTCACTCGCGAAGCTGCTGTGAGCACTCGTGATGGAACCCATGCATCTTGGAGCACGTGTTTGGTCGACTGTGCTGGCCTCGTATGGCTCCCCTTCCTACTTCGGCCGTTCAGAGGAGGCATGGTGGCACCTTCCTGTGTCCTCTGGCCACTCGGACATCCTCTCTGCGGCCTTTCCAGTCTGTTGCCCACGTTTTATTAAGGTTTCTGTCTCTTTCTTGTGGATTTGAAGGAATTCTTGATCTAGTCTGGAAACAACACTTTGAAAATTTACGAAGGGCCGATCACCTTGCACTCTCGGCCTGGCTCTCCTGCGGTCTTCTCATTGACCAGAGGTTCCTAGTGTTAATGTGATAAAATTAGTGATCTGTTCCTTTGTCACTATACTTTGTGTGCCCTGCTTAAAAAGGCCGTTTCCCTTTCCAAAGGTCATGAAGATATTCTCTTACAATATTTTCCCCAAAGCTTTATGGTTTTATGTGCCAGATTCACACGGACCATCCAACTGAGATTGGTGGGTGTGGTGTAGGGCAAGGTCAGCCTCAGGCTTTTAAATCTGGGTATCTGAATGTTCCAACCCCATTTATGGGAAAAAAATTGCCCATCTTCTTTGCAGAGCCACGTTTGTCCTGAATCCAGTGTCCACACACGTGTGCCCACACCTCACAGTCATGATTACTGAACTTCACGTGCCCTCACCTTGTTCTTCGAGAAGGTCTTGGACATTCTTTCCATTCTCCTCAAATTTCCACATGTACTTTAGAATCCACATGTCAGATTCCACTTAACACTCTGGGGGGTGCAGACTGTGATTGCTGAGAGTCTTTGAGTCGTCCGCGGACTCGGGGAGAGCTAACCCTCTCCACAGCCTTCCCGTCCGTAAACACAGTCTGCCTCCCCACTGGTTTAGACCTGCCCTCGATTCTTCACAGAGGATCGAGTTTTCTGTGTGGAGCTTAAGCACGTGTTAGGTGTATTTCCATGTATTTGATATCTTTGATGCTATTGTAAATATGCCTTTTTGTGTCATGCTTGAACTCTACATGAAATATAGAAATATAATTCTGTTAACCTTTTTTTTTAAGATTTTATTTATTTATTTGACAGAGAGAGACACAGCGAGAGAGGGAACACAAGCAGGGGGAGTGGGAGAGGGAGAAGCAGGCTTCCCGCGGAGCAGGGAGCCTGATGCAGGGCTCGATCCTAGGACCCTGGGATCATGACCTGAACTGAAGGCAGACGCCTAACGACTGAGCCACCCAGGCGCCCCTCTGTTAACCTTTTAATAATTTTGGTGATTTATCTGTAAATTCTTCTGGATCTCATGTGCGTACAGTCATTCCATCTACGGCCAGCTGCTTACTTCCTAATTTCTATTCCTTGCACTTTTCATTCCCTTACTTGGCTCTACTGGCTCAGGCCTCGGCAGGTGTCGAAGAAACACCATGACAGCACACAGCCTTATCTCATTTCCTGCTTCAATGGGAGGGTCCCCAACACTACTTGGAAGTATAATTGGTGTTTGTTGTAGTTTTATAGATATTCTTTATTGACTAGGGAAGTTTCTTATTTCTCTTTGCTAAGAGTTGTAATCATGAATGGCTATAGACTTTTACCAAGTATTTTTCTCCATCTGTTCAAGTGATAATGTTTTTTCTCCTTTATTCTTTTAATTTATTACATTGATCTTTTGCTGATGATTATCATAATAAGATCAATGTGGCTGAAACGTATTATTCATCTCATGTATAATCGTGTTTGACACTTTGGGGTGTTTGCTTCCATGTTCATTCCTGTTCATATAGCACCGTCAGGATTTGGTAAAAAGTTACTCAGACTCTGAACCATTTCCTGCTCCCAGCCGGCGCCAGACGTGCGGCTTTCCACACCAACATCCAGCTCTCCTGCTGTCTGTGTGCACCAGCCGGGCATCCTGTGAATTAGCCCAGGCCCGGCACGGACCTCCCAGGGTTGGTGGGCGCGGGCTCCTCAGGCTCAGAACTCAGTCCCTCAGGGCGGCCCCCACATTAACACTGCTGTCCGCACCGCTGTCTGACGTGGCTACAAATTGGAGGTTCCCGTGACCCCCTCTTCGGGGTTGATGATTTGCTAGGACGGCTCACAACTCAGGGAAACACTTTACTTTCTAGATTACTGGGTTATTAGAAAGGATGCAAGTGAACAGCCAGCTGAAGAGGTCCACGGGGCGAGGTCTGGGCGGGTGCCAAGAACAGGAGCTCCGAAGTGCGTGGCGCTCGATGCGCCACCCCCGTGTGGATGTGTTCACCACCCGGAAACTCTCCACACCGCTCCACTTAGGAATTGTAGGGAAGTTCCGTTATGCAGGCGTGAGTGATGAAATGGTTGGCCGTCGATTTGTCCCGTCTCCAGCCTCTCTCTGAGCCCGGCATCGGGAGGTGGGACCAAAGCTCCCGCCCTCTGGTCCCAGGGTTGGTTCCCCGGCAGGCAACCCCCAGCCTGAGCTGGACAGGGGCTGCCCAGAGTCACCTCCCGGGCGTAAACTCAGCTGTACTCGGAAGGGGCTCATGAGCCACAAGATTGCAAGGGTTTTAGGAGCTCAGTCCAGCAACAAAAACAAAGTCCAAGGATCCATGTCCTTCTGGGTCACAATCTCACACTGACCTTTTAGTTAGGAAGTGTTCCCTCCCCCATCCCTTTTTTTGGAGGGACTTCATGCTTTTACTGATACTTATTGTTTTTAAAAGTCTGGTATATGATGAAGTGGTATTTTACTTATTCTGTTCATTAATAACTGATATTTGAGAACATTTTAATATTAATGGAACATAATCTAAGAGAAATTCAGTTTTTTTACATTTCAATATCAGGCTACTTATAGATAATAAAAGTAATTATGGTCAAAATTACTATATCAAAACTTACAATAAATGCTTGGTATTAGCCCACATACAATTTAGTTTTTGGTGTAAAGTTCTTTGCAAAAAAGAACATTTGATTTACTTCACTAATGGGAATACGTCTTAAAGCTGGGATGGCCTCTTCTTGGTATTTCCTCTGCTGTGGATCTTAGCATAGTTATCTGTGATTGTGTGAATGGAGTTGAGTGGAAAGGTACTCATCACGTTCATTCCAAATAAAAGTACATAACCAGTTACTATAGTAATGAGGAGGTAGATGGCCGTGCAACTGCCCAATATTTTTGAGGCCAATAGGTTAAGCCTAAGGAGTTTAGTCAAGATTCAGGAATAAGATTTCACACAAGATATAGCAAGATATAGTATGAAGCCAACTTGGGAGCTTAAGAAAGGAACAAAACCATAAATCGCTCTTTCTGGCAATGGTGACAGTGAATTTTCTACCATTTTCCCTGTGACTTTAGATAATCTTTGCCGGCCTGGGAGGCATGAGGGCAGTGCCAGCCAGGACACTCCTCTTGTCACCATGGAAGGCCCCCCCATCTTTTTTTTTTTTACCATTCTTGGGGAGACTTGTATAAGATTATTTGTTATTTCTTCCTTAAATTTGGGAGAGTTCCCTGGTGGAAACTTCTGGGCCTTTTCTTCTATATGGGAAGGTCATAAGTTATGATTCAGTTTACTTTGTAGTTCTGGAGCTCTTCAGATTTTCTGTTTCTTCTTGTAATTTGGTGGATTGTGTTTTTCTAGGATATTTCCACTTAATATAAAATTCAAGTTTGTAATATAATGTTCTTAATGTGCTTTTATTATCTTTTAGTGTCTGCAGGGTCTGTAGGATTTGTGTGTTCCCACCCCTCTTTCCTGACCAGCTTCATCAGGAGTTACCAGTTATTAGTCTCTCAAAGAACCACATGTTCTCCAGGCCACCCGAAGCCACTGGCTTTTGAGGAAGTCCCTGAGACGGCTGCTTTACTTGTAGATCACCCTTCATCCTAAGGTGCAGACCTTTAGGCACCCAGCCTGGGCATGAAGCTTTCAGTGGGCCCTCAAGGCCAGTTTGTTGTCTCCACCTTACAAAAAAACCCCCAAACAACCCAAACAAACAAAAACCAGAAGTACCATCCAACTTCTCAGCTGCCTCTTGAATCCACAGAAACCCCCAGGAAAAAGGGACCCCAATATGGCAGGCTTATTTCTCTCGATACCCATTGTCTTCTGGCACTCAGCCCAGTAACTTCTCCCAGCATCAATTACCCAGTCTTCAGAGCTTTTGGCGCATTTTTAAAATACTTCATCCAACTTTTCTAATTCTTCATTGCAGAATAATTATTTTATCAAACCCAGTCTGTTGTTATAAGTATTGTTCTTCTCTACCTGTATTAAATTTTAAGGCAGTTATATGTGTTCATAAAGAAATTCTGTTTTTAATGGATCAGCAGTTTTTAGTAGAAGAAATCTAACAAAACCATTAATTTGAGTAAATATGTAAATAGATTGTTTCTTGTGAGGACTTTTAACTGCACTTGGGCATTGAAGATTATGGATGATCGCAGATGACAAGATGAAAGCTATGAATGAGGGAGAGAAGGGGGAGAGCACGTCATTCATTCATTCATTCATTCATTCAACAAACACTGTTGAGCACCTGCTGTGTGCCAGGAGCTGTGCTTGTCATGGAGAAGGATAGAGGTTTTTGAAGAAAGACCCTATAAGCTAGTGGCCTACCCTTCCTCCCCTCTTTGACCTTACATGTTTGTTGTGTATTTATGTAGACATACACTTTATATTATCTGGACCATTTGGTCAGAGCCCTGCAGAAGATGTCCCTTTACGAGCTCACCATCCCAGTCCTGCAGTTGGGTGTAGTAATCGCGGCGTCTGTGGTAGAAAGCAAGAGCCTCAGAGATCTCTACCACCTGCGGTCAGTATGACTGTTTTATATTCAGGGAAACTGGGGAACATTTAGGTGGCTAAAGGGAAAAATTTCCCCAAAGTAATATAAAAACAAACAGCATTTCCAAATATTGATTCTATGGTTGACTATTTCTATAAATAATAGTCCCTGTGATTTGTAAAACCAAATAAATCCATATACTTAACATAAAAATAGTAATTTTATTTTAAAATTTCGACCTGGCCCTTAAGAGAAGATCATTGTTCTGAGGAAATATACACTGAAGTATTAGAATGAAGGGCCACTGTGTCTGTGGCCTACTCTCAAATCATCCAGAAAAAAAACATAGGGGGATGGCGGGGGTGGGGAGGCAAAACGATAAAGCTGATACGGTGAAGCGCTTGTGCTGAAGCCATCTGGGCGAGGGATGCACAGTAATTCTTTGTAGTGTTTGTGCCGCTTTTATGTAAGCTTGAAATCCTCTAAAAACAAAACCATTTCACATCAGAATCAAAGCAGGGCTTCTCTGCTTTGCACTTGTCATGGTGGCCACAGCCCCACGCACGGTGCCTAATTTTTCCCTCTGAAGGTTGCCCTGCGACGGTATGTATGGAGTAAGATGTGTCAATGAGTATTAAAATTCTTTCTACCTGAAGTCTGGTAGAGGCACCTGTGTCATTTTGCTTAGGTCTAAAAATTATTGAAGACATCACTAAATGATACATTCCTTTTTTGTTTACTGATTGTTATGAGGCTAACTGAGCCCAGTGCAGCCTGACTCTGATCTACCAGGTCCCGTGTGACCGTGTTCTTTCTCCCTATCGCCCTTCCCCTAGACTTGCCCTTGCTTGTTCGGATTTGAAATTGCGAGAAACAGCTGCCTACCATGAAGAGGTGGCCGGGCAGACATACATCTATGAGCTGGAGCAGGCAAGGTGTGGCCCTTCCCCACTGCTATTCTACCCACCGTGGGCGGGACACCAGCTCACCTGTAACCAAGGAAGGATTTGGCCAACGCGGTACTGCTCCCGGCTGTGTCCCCTCCAACCCCAGGCCCCATCCTGCATCACAGCCAGACAGTGGGGGGTGGGAGGACGCTCAGCCTGGGGGGGCTGTGCCGGAGGTGGGAGGCAGTGCCTGGGGGCAGTCATGGGAATTCTGTGTTATCTTTGTAAACAGGTGAGTGATCAGTGGCTTCTTATAGCTATTTTAATTTGCATTCCTTGATTACTAATGACATTGAACATTTTCAGGTATGTCTTGGCCATTTCTTCTTTGGCATATCACCTGTGTTACTTACATTAGCTGCAGAAAAGAAATTGCCTTGAGAAAGGAGAAGAATAAGGAACCACTCTTGGAAGACAGTGTGCCAACTCTGGCTGAACCCATAACTGCAGTGGACCCAGCAGAAATGAAGCCCCTCATGGCCAAGGACAAGGTACCCTCACTCTGCGGGCAACACCTTGTTCCTAGCCCAGCGGGGCAGCGCCGAGGCCAACCTCGGGCTGCTAGCCAGGACGTGTCTTCACCGTGTGCTGTGTCCAGACCCTCATGCTGGGTTCCCTGGGACACCCGGGGACTGGTCGGGTGTGCCCTGGATGTCTCTGGGGAAGTTGGAGCTACAGATCACCTCAGAGCGTGCCCGCCAGAGGCACTGGGCAGGATTCAGAGAAGACGGGCAGGGTGATCGAGGCCTGGCAGCTAGAGAGTGGCCAGGAAGTCTGACCACTAACCGGCTCTCCCTACCACACAGTGGGCTCACTTTGTGTGGGCTCGCCCATCAAGGAAAGTAGCCATCCCAGCCACCATGCTCTGAACACCTGTCACCACGGGCGTACCACCCCTTGGGACTCCATTAGTGAGCCCCCAACGTCAACCATTTGGGAGACGTGGTAGGAACATGCCAGTCCTCCATGTGTCTTGCCGAATTCAGAGGCTCAGTGACACCTCCCATGCCGGTCCAGGTGCCGCCTGGTACTGGACAGTGGGGTCACAGAGCCCGGGGCACGGGTGGAAGCAGGGGCAGCACAGGACCAGCTCTGATGCCCCTGGGGGTGAGCTGGTGGGTGAGAAGAGATGGCTGTCCCAGGAGACCGCACGCTGCCAAGGCAGGGGGCCGGCCTGGTGGGAAACCATGGACAGTGGGCAGCTTCCTGCCAGCCATGGGCGCAGACCTACCTGCCCTGCCTTCCAGCTCCTGAAGATAAACGGAGAGACCGGGAGGGGCTTGGAAGGGACATCCTTCCCCCAGCTGTGGACCCTCAAAGCAGAAGTGCTGCTGGAGATGGACCTGTACCAGCCTGCGAGGCTGCTGCTGTCGGAGGCCTACCTGGCCTTCCAGGTGAGGGGCTGCCGGGCTCAGGGGGCGCCTGCACCGCCAGAATCAGCCTGCCCACCTGCGCACCACGGCGGCTCTCTGGGACTCGGGCTGTCTGCTTGGAAGCTGGCTTGCTGCTCGCCAGTCTGGAACGTCCATCCTGGACTTGGATCTACGTCTCTGCCCTTCACCTGTTTCTCTGGTTTTTGTTCACTCTTTTGGAGAGTTTGCTATAGTCCCTGCTTCCTATGGTTGCCACGGGTCTGATTCCACGGATGGCAGTGTTCCCGGTGCTGTGTTTCCTGATGTTGCATACAGAGGCTGAGAGCCTGGAGGGCCTGGGGCTTGGCCCCTGGCCCATGAGTTTTGTCCTTACTCCTCAGGTGTGGGCCCTGCAGGTATCTGTGGTCTCTTGGGGGCCTCACTGGAAGCCTGGGGTTTTCTGAGCCCCCTCAGAAAGGCTTGCATTCCAGTCTGGCTGTTCAGATCTTAGCTCAGCTCCTTAGCCCCCCTGCTACTCCCGTCTGCTCAGCTTCTTGAACCTGCTCTGCCCTTGAGCACAGATCTTCGGGACCTCCTGGTGCCCCCGTGATTGGCCCTTCTAGTGCCAGCACCTGGAAGCTCCAAAGCCCCAGCTGTCTCCTCCCGAGCCAGGCTGTTGCTTTTCTCCTGGGCTCTGTCATCGGTGAGGATGGATGCCTATGTGTGCATCCCTCCCCGTAGAGATGGTGGCCCTCCGGCACCTGCGGACAGGCGGTTCTATCTGCGTCCAGCTCGGAGAACTGCATGCACGGGGGGCGAGCAAGGCAAAGCTAAAGGACCAGACTGGCTGTCCCTGGTTTTGAAGGACTCCAGATAGAGAGAAGTCCTTAATAAAAGCACAAAAATTCAAGGCCGTGGGAGATTCAGGCAGTGGGCAGGGTGCTCAGGCCAACACAGATAGCTGTGTGCAGGCAGGACTGCAAAGGGGGTGAGGCCGGGGGCAGGAGGGGAAGCACCCGGGGTGGCATTGAGAGGCTGCACGCTGCTGGCAACGGCCTCTTCTGAGACCAGTGGGCCAAGGAGCCAGGTGTCAGAGAGCTCCTGGGGAGTGTTCATCCCCAGAGGGTGGCTGGGGTACCTTTGCCTCCTCCAGACACCACACTGCCCCCCCACAAGCCTTCGCTCACGTGTTCCACATGCATGGATGGTGCTCTGCCCATGGGCCTTTCCCTCCTGGCCGTCCGCTGCCCTCAACCACCCACACCATGGCCACGCTTCTGTGGGGCCGTGGTGGTCAGAGCCTGGTGACGTCTCCCTGGGGCGTCTGCAGGCACCAGCCCCGGCTTCCGTCCACCACAGCCCACAGTCCGCGTCTTCACTGTGGCTCCCCCCCACCCCCCGCCGGCCAGTATGTGCACCGCCTGTGTCTACCTCCTCTCCTTGCCTCCAGCCTGTATTTGCCTTCTGGGGCCCACCAGGCCCCCTCCTCAGTCTCTTCGGGCTGCATGCTTGCTCCTCTGCCTGGAGCCAGCTGTCTTGGACTCCTCTTCCTGCCTGAGCAGCCCGCGTCCTCCTGCCCGGCTGTGGTCCAGAGGCCGACAACACCCCCACCCCACGCCCAGGCCACCTGCAACTGTGTGCCATGGATGGGGGATGAGACGGCCCTGGCTGGCTAGGGTGCAAAAGTCCGTTCGCCACCCACCTGCCCCGCTGCCCTCGGCCAGCATCTGGACGGCGGCTCCCGGGAGGGCACTGAGGACTGCTGCTAAGGGGAGGGGTCAGGAACCCTAGGAGTGGATTTTTGCACATGCACAGGCCGGAAGCCTACCCAGCCCCATGCCCTGAGGGCAAATATGGGGCGCCCTTCAGAGGTGAGGGCCAGCCCAGTGGACACTGTGTGGGAAGGCCTGGAGCCCCGAGCTGCTCTCACGCTGTCTCTCTCCCACCACCCCATCCTCTCTCTGCACATATACATATTTTAGGAGCTCGACGACCCTTGTGCGGAAGCAAGATGCCTGCACCTTCTAGCACAACTGGCAAACAAGGAGAAGAATTATGGACGAGCGAAGAAGATGGTGGAGCAGGCGCAGCGCCGGGGGGGCGGCGAGGAGTTCTGGTACAGCTCAACCCTGACTCTGGCAGACACGCTCCTGGCCCTAGGAAGCGACGGCAGCGAAGTGGTGGTAGGGGCCCCCTGGCGCCCTCGGAGGGGGGCGTGTGGCCAGGTCCCTGTGGCCGGGAGCCACATGCAGATGTCAACGCCCTGTCCTCCTCAGGCCCTCCAGTTGTTTCAAAGACTCATAGATACCTTCAGGGTCCTGCAGAAGGAAAGACCTAACCGAGTGCCCATCTTGGAATTTATGGCCACAGACCTAGAAGCCAGGTAGTCCTTTGTAGGAAAAACTTAATTCACATGAAAGCCAGGGTTGACTTTATTCTTTATGGGGTTTTCCAAACCTGTGTGCGGCCCGTGGCCCCTGGGGGAGGAGGCCCAGGGAGGTCGCCAGAGCCTGACCTTCGGCCTTCCCGCTCCTGGGGGCAGTGTCTCTTCCTTTCCAATGTGCCTTTTTCTTGGGACAGGGATGCAGGTGGCTTGTTTGGTTCTGAAATTCTCAGAGGTACCTGTGAGGTGAGGGGCAGGCAGAGCCCTGGCGGGGATCTGGCTGCCGGGTCTTCTCTGTCCCCCGTGACAGTGTAGAACTCGGTGCCGTGAGCAGATGCCTCCCTGGGGTCTGTCGGGCTCTGTCCTCACCTCTGCGCCGGCTGCTTCCTGAGCCTGTCGCCTGTCTGGGCACAGAGCTTTGAAGAGTGGCACTGGCCTTCTGTGCTTATTGGTCATTCAGATTTTTGGCTTCTTTTTGAGCTGTCTTTCTGGGAATTTGTATTCTTCTGGAAAATTGTTTCCTCTGGGATTTGGGTCGTGTTGGTATGTGTTTCTGGATCTTGTCCTGTAACGTCACAGAGTCTTTGTCACAGGTCGCGCCCGCGCCCCGCTCTTCTCCTAAATCAGGGCTGCGCGGCACCATTTCATTGACCTGAACAAAGAAGCCACCGAGGCTTGGCCTCTTGGTTTTCTGCCTTCTGTTTGTTCCGTTCTGGGTCCTGTATCTGAGAGGGGCTGTTCATGGCTGTCCACCTGCACGGGTCCCCACTCCTATTCAGGGCTCCTGGGACTCCAGCCGGCAGCACCCGCACGTCGGAAGTGGGTTTCCGTGTGGGTTCCTGCCCCTGAGTCACAGGAGGGCGGTCCTTTGCGGGGAAATGCTACTTTCCAGCTTGACTGTCTTGTGATGGAAGCACGTGGCTTGCATGGTTTCTGGTCTGCGGGAAGGGCGCTCAGCATCGGAGCGACACTGCCCGGGCTGCAGTCAACACATGGGACGCTCCATGCCCCCCCCAGATGTGTGAGCCTCCGCGTCCGGGCCCTTCAGGGACTACTTGACTGTGAACGCTTGTTTCTGTTGACCGAACTGGATGATCACTTGATGGAGATTGAGAAAAAGTTGACCACCTGGGGCTACAGAGAGAATTGTGTGGACATAAAACTAGAGCGCGCAAAGATAAAGAGGTGAGCAGCCCTGCCGGCCGGGGGGGGGGGCTCCTGAGGGGGGCTGAGGGGCTGGAGCTCCGAGCACAGTCAGGGACCATCCTTGTGCCCCTGCTCCCCTGCCCCTTGTCCTGACCCCATGCCCAGCTCTCTTCCGGGGCCAAGCCCCCCTCGGGTCCCATTGTCCTCCAGCAGAACCTCCTCCTGGCCCTGTGGCCACCTGCACCTCCCTCCAGGACAGCAACACAGGGGGTGACCGTGCTCTCATCCAGCCCCTCAGTGTCCCACCTGTTGCGTCTCTGCAGACACACGGACATACGCTTCCCAGCCTCCCACACACCCATAGCACGCACATGTTGGTCACACTTGTGCAGACACAGGTCACACCCACATGCGCACATTACCCGTGACCACTCACAGGTGCTCACTCACAGCCATACACACGTCAACCCCGTGTGCCCCTGCACCTGCTCACACCTGCGCTGGCCTGAGGAGGCAGCCCGGGAGCTGCCCTCCAGCAGGCCGCTGTCAGCCTCCCTCATGCGACCTCTCAAAGTCCCCACTGTCCTCGAGGGCAGAGACTGGCCCAGAGGCAGAGGAACGAGGCCAGGCCTCAGTAAACGGCCTCCCTCTCCCACCTCGCCTCCATCCATCCAGCCCTGGGCCGCCCCGTGCTTGGGGTACATGCAGGCATTTCGAAGCACGACAAGCAAATGTTGTTTAGAAGGTATTAAAAACAGCCTTGATGAGGGAAAAACCACCTGGACACTTGTGGAATGTAACTTTGATCCTATTATTACAGAATCGATATATGGTCATTGTAGAGCTTTAAAAAATGCAGAAACCACAAATAGGAAAACAAGGCGGTTAAATCAGCACAACTAATATCATGGTGTTGGTTCACTGGATCTGTCTGTTAGGCATAGATTTAATTTAGCAAAAATAGTATAGAGTGCATACTTATTTTGTGCTAAGATACAGTGACATACAGAACATCTAATCATAAAATTTGAAGTACTAATAAAAATACAATATAATTATTTAAAAATTACATACCGTGCTTTTTGTTAATACTGATGGTATAATGCTTGAAATTTTTGTTCTAAATTCCACTCTTCCATCTTCTAAAGATTATGTGCCCAAAATGAGAAAAATGAAGAGCAAAAAACCGCGTATCACTTGGAGGCATACGACTTGGTCCAAAGAGCTGTGGCTGAGGCGGAGGAGTTGTTCCTCAGTGTGCAGGGCTTACTGTCCTTGCAGGAGGTGAGCGTGTGTCCTGGGTCCCTCCCTGTAGCCCAGAGCACCCCCTCGGCACACACAGATACACCCTGCACTTGCCCTATACAGGCTGCCTGCTTCCAATTTGGCTGAGGTGCACTAACAGCAACGAGATTTGCCCTCCCTTCCGAAGTAACCAAAAAGTGGACAAAAATGTGAAACAGACACACATTAGATGTCCACATGAGCACTGTCGTCCCTGAACAGAGGCAGCCCCGCCCCTGTCCACACTCACCGCAGAAGCAGGGGGCCCAAGGGGGTCAGGAACGTGTCCGGCTCCCACTCAGGCTTGGAGTGGCACCTGCTCCCACCAGCCAGACTGGACAACCTCGTGACCCCAGAGCGCTGCGCAGAGCAGACAGAAGGTCTTGTCTCAGTCAGGGATAATCTGCCCTGGATGAGCCCTGCTCTGGATCTGCCTGAAAAGTTGTAGAAGACCGAAGAGGACCACAGTGTTTGCAGATGGTCGTCCCAGAGCAAAGGCAAAAGCAGGACTACAAGTGTCCATCTGCCAAAAAAGGAAGATGCACAATGTCTGGCAACCAGTGCAAAATTACCATGTCAAAATCCCAATCAAAAATGGCATGCAAAATTACCATGCCAAAAAGCAGGAAAAATATACCTCATAACATGCAGAACAATCCATCAAGACCAACCGAGAACTGGCACAGATATCAGAATGCAGAGACAAGGGTGTTAAGAGTTACTACTGACCACAGTTTGTGTGTGTGTGTGTGTGTGTGTGTGTATACATATATATAAACTAAGACCACAATGCAATTAAAGTAGAAATCAAAAAGCAACATAAAATATAGAATAGTTAAGTCCATAGAGACAGAAAGCTGATGAGTGGTTGTAGGGGAGGGGGCTGGGGAGGGGCATAAGACATGGCCGTTGAGTGGGGAGGGGGTTCCCTTTTGGAATGAAAAAACATTTTGGAAGTAGATAAGGATGTTGCTGCACAAGGTTGTGAATGCACTAAGTACCACTGAATTGTACACTTTAAAATGGTTATTTTATGTCATACAAATTTTACCTCAATTTAAAAAAAAAATACCAGAAAGCTATGGGTGAAATACCCAAATATTTGGAAAGTAAATAACATCCATTAACAATGAGTCAGAGAACAAATCAAAAGGGAAAGTATTTCTGATCTGAAGGGGGAAAAAACACATGTCAGAATTTTAAAGATGTCTTTAATTGCAATGATTAAGGGAAAATTTGTAGCACTATATAACTGTATGACAAAAGAAAAAAGATCCCAAACTAATGACCTTAGCCTTCACTGTAAGAAAGTAGAGGAAGAGCAAACTCCAAATAAGAAGAAAGGAAAATGAAGATCAGAGCAGAAATCAGTGAAATAGGAAATATAAAAATAAAAGATAAAATCAACAAAACCACAAGTTGTTATTTGAGATAAATAAGTTCATACATTTCTGTCCAGACTGATCAGGAAAAAAAAGAGAGGACATAAATGATCAATATCTGAAATAAGAGATGTAACATCACCATTGATCCTATACATATTAAAAGGATAATAAGGGAATATTCTGAACAACTTTATGATGATATAGAACAATTCCTCGAAAGACACAAACAACCAAAACTCATTAAAAAAAACCGATCACCTGAATAGCCCTCCATCTGTTAAAGAAATGGAATTTGTAGTTAAAAGTCTTTCCACAGAGAAAACATCAGAGCCAAGTGGCTTTGCTGGTGAATCCTAGCAAACATTTAAGGAAAGCATAATACCAATGCAACACAAAGTCTTCTAGAAAATTGAGAAGGAAGGAACACATCCCCACTCTGTGAGGCTAGTATGACCCTGATACCAAAACCAAAACTACAGATCATTACTATTCATGAACACAGATGTGGAAGCTCTAAACAAAATTTTAGCAAATTAAATCCAATAATATGTAAAGAGGCTAACACATCAGTGCCAAGTTGGAGTTATCCTGGGACTGTTTAACATTCAAAAATCAATCAATTTGGCTCACCATATTTTTTTAAAAATTAAAAAACCATATGATCACCTCAGTTGGCAAAACCCAACACTCATTCCTGATTGAAAAAAAAAAAAAAGACTCTTAGCAAACTATTAATAGAAGGAAAGCTCCTCCAGGTGATAGACTGCATCCATGAAAATACTAGGGCTCATGTCACACTTAGTGGGGAAAGTAAAGCGCTTTTCCCACCTTCATTCAGAATTATACTTGAGTTGTAGTCAATTCGATAGGTAAGAGAAAGAAATTAAAAATGCCCAGTCTAGAAAGGAAGAAGTAAAACTGTCTTTGTTTACAGATGGCAGGATTATCTGTATAGAAAATCTCAGCAGGGGCACCTGGGTGGCTCAGTCGGTTTAGCATCTGACTCTTAATTTCAGCTCAGGTCCTGATCTCAGGGTCATGAGATCCAGCCCCGAGTTGGGCCCTATGCTGGGTGAGGAGCCTACTTAAGATTCTCTCTCCCTCTCCCACTGCCCCTCCCCCACCTGCTTGCTCTCTCTTCAAAAAAAAAAGAAGAAGAAGAAGAAAGAATCTCATGCAATCTACAAAAATGATAATAAATGTACTAGGACTAACAAGTGATTGCAGTAATGCTTCAGGACACAAGAACAATATGGAAATATTAATTTTATATTTCTATATACCCTCAACAATTGATCAGATATTAAAAATTCAAAAACAAAACCATTGGACAGCATAAAAATGAAATTTGACAAAAGAGTGAAAACTCACCCCTGAGAACTAGAAAACATCACTGAGAGAAATTGAAGAAGACCTAAATAGATGGAGAGATATAAAATGTTCATGGACCAGAAGACTTGATATTACTAAGATCTCAATAAATTTTCTGCAATCCTGACCAAGAAGATGCAGGCTTTTTATAAAAATTGAAAAAAAATATTTTAAATTTCATTTGGAATTGCAAAAGATGTAACATAGCAAACACAACTTTAAAAAAGAAAAACTGAGTTGGAGATCTAACACTACCTGATTCTAAGACTTACTATAAAGTGACAGGAATCAAAGCAGTGTGGTTTTAGTGTAAAAGTAAGACAAGCAGATCAATGGAACATAACAGAGAATCCAGAAATAGATAGACAGACAGACAGAAGATTGCTTTTCAACAAAATAGCAAAGGCAATTCAGTGAAGAAAGGCTACTCCATACAACAGTGGTGCTGGAGCAACTGGCAATCCACATGCAAAATACAGACTTCAGTTCATACCTCACAGCAGACATAAGATTCAACCCTAAGAGGACCATAGATCTGAAGGTAAGAGCTGAAACTATAAGGATTCTAGAGGAAAACATCTTTGGGACCTTGGGTTCAGTAAAGACTCCTTACATACGGCAACACAAGCATGATCCATGAGAGAATAATAAACTGACAAATTGGAGGCTGCTCTTCAAAAGACGGTATTCAGGGGGTGAAAAGACAAGGCACAAACTGGGAGAAAATATTTGCAAACCATATGACTGATGAGGTCTTGTATCCAGAATATAAAACCCTTATAAAACTTAATAATAAGAAACAACCCCACAAAAAGTAGGCAAAGAGTTGAGCAGACATTTTTCCAAAGAAAATATGTGGATGGTAAATAATTACATGAGGGGAAGATGAACTCACCAGTGAGTCGGGGAAACCACCACACACCTATTAAAATGGCTGCAATTTAAAAGACTGAGCATAGGAAATGTTAGCATGGACACGGAGGGACCAAACTCGTCACTGCTGTGGAGGTGTAGCACGGACCACAGCTTGGCAGTTAAACACAGGCCACCAGAGGAACCAGCATCCCATGCCTAGGAATTTACCTGAGAAAGGTGAAAGCCTACATCCGCACAGAAGCTCTCGCACACGTGTTCACAGCCACTGTATTTGCAGTAGCCCCGAATGTGAGTGGATACTTGCACTTGGGCCCACTTTTATGACAGGTCCTCCTTGTCAGTGGAAAGATGTGAGTGCAAGCAGCAACGTGGATGGGTTGGAAGTAAATATGGGAGTGGAATCAGCCAGAGAGAGCACATGCTGTATGAATACAGTGGTACAAACCCTAGAACTTGCAAACCAGCTCGTGGGGCCGGAGTGTGGCCCCTTGCTGCCTGGGAGGGAGGACCCGGTTAGAAAGGGGCATGAGGCACCAGTCAGAATGGCTAAAATTAACAACACAGGGAACAACAAATGTCGGTGAGGATGCAGAGAAAGGGGAACCCTCCTAAAGTGTTGGTGGGAATGCAAACTGGTGCAACCGCTCTGGAAAACAGTATGGAGGTTCCTCAAAAAGTTGAAAATAGAGCTGCCCTATGACCCAGAATTGCACTACTGTGAATTTACCCCAAAGGTACAAATGTAGGGATCCGAAGGGGTACGTGCACCCCAATGTTTATAGCAGCAATGTCCACAATAGCCAAACTGTGGAAAGAGCCAAGATGTCCATCGACAGATGAATGGATAAAGAAGATGTGGTATATATACACAATGGAATATTATGCAGCCATCAAAAGGAATGAGATCTTGCCGTTTGCAACTGGAACTGGAGGGTGTTATGCTGAGTGAAATAAGTCAGTCAGAGAAAGACAAGATCATACGACCTCACTGATATGAGGAATTTGAGAAGCAAGACAGAGGATCATAGGGGAAGGGAGGGGGAAAACGAAACAAGACGAAACCAAAGAGGAAGACAAACCATAAGAGACCCTTAATCTCAGGAAACAAACTGAGGGTTTCTGGAGTGGAGGGGGCAGGGAGGGATGGGGTAACTGAGTGATGGGCATTAGGGTGGGCATGTGATGGAACGAGCACTGGGTGTTATATAAGACTGATGAATCACAAACCTGTACCTCTGAAACAAATAATACATTATATGTTAATAAAAATAAAAACCAAATAAATAAAAAGGAATGCTTATCCATTCAAAAAAAGAAAAAAACAAGAAAAGAAAGGGGCATGAGGATTTGGGGGAGAGGGACCCGTGCATTGTTTTAATTGTGGTGCTCTGTGTGTGTGTCTGGCACGCCCAGTTGCAGAACATCAACACGCCTCTGATGAGGAAGCTGGCGCACCTGCGGCTCAGCCTTGCAGAAGCATCTCTGGACATGCTGCAGCTCATGTGGGCGGAGGCCCAGGCCCAGCAGCTTGAGCAGAGCTCCATGGACAAGCTGCTGGGTGACTACCTGCAGAGATTGAGTGACTACACCTCCATTGGCCTGGTAACCTCCCCGAGACGAAGCGGGCCCATGGCTCTCGGTCCCATCTGCGGGGTGCCGTGCTGGGATGGCAGGACTGACCAAGAGCAGGCGCAGGGCCGAGCTCTCTGCCCGCGAGTGTGTTCTCAGCCCCAGCGGCTCCCAGGGCCCCCCGTCTGATGGCCTTGGGCGTCTCCTGGGGGACGTTCCCAGGGGCATTGCACTCTCCTACCCAGGGTATGCGTTTGCTTTGACTAATTATGGCAGCATATTAAAGAGCTCTACAGAGGTGAATTCATTTTGTTAAAAAAAAAAAGTTGAGTTTGCAAAAGATCTGAAGGAAACATCCTGCCATTTCAGACAAATTCTTAGATTTCATGTACTATGAATCAAATTAACTTGATGTAACCATAAAACATCAAAGAGAGGCCTAAAATTGAACTTGATATGAGCTTATCTATTTGTCAGTGAGTCTCAAATTAAGGTTGTATTGACCGTCCCAACACCTAAGCCCTGGAAACCCTCCCCAAAGGCCAGAGGGTGCATTTCTCAGCTTGGATAGCGCCACTCCTGGGGGCGTTAGACCAGGGAACTCAGGGACAGGATGGGGGGGGGTATAGGGGGTTAGAGGGTAGTCCTCTGGCACTTTCCAGGGTGGGGTGCAAGTAACCACAAGGCGGTTTGTGTTCCTGTAGAGGTGGTTCATGCTGAGGCGGACCCTGGCCCACGTTGTCTTGGTGCAGCTGGGGAGCCTGCATTCACTGTGTGCTGGCTGCGTGGAGGTCCGTGCTCAGGTCCTGGGCCTGGCAGGGAAGGCCCTCCGCCTGCTGGCCGTACACGCAGACCCCGAGCGCCCCACCTGCTACTGGGAGGAGGGCCTCTCGGTATGTGCTCACCTGCAAGCCCCTCACCCATGCGTAAAAACCAAAGCAGCTATTTAAACCTCACCCAATCTCAGTAAGAACAGGGATACGAAACAGGTCTCAAATTGTCCCTGGTTGAGAATGGTGGTGTGATCTGAGAAAGGGAGAAAAAGGCAAGCAGTAGTCTGTCCGGCGTGGCCAGTGGGTGGGAGAGAAAAACGGACTTCTGGAGATAGACTCTAGAGAGGAAGGGGAAGCGAGCACATAGGTGGTCCAAGTGCAGCATGCCCCAGCCCCCAATGTGGGCGTCCTGCCTGCACCTCAGCAGCTCTCCTCCAGGGTGTCTGGGGTCTGCCTGAGTGCCGGGTGCAGAAAACCCCCCTCCTCGTGTGCAGCAGGGAACCCCAAGCCCCCTCACTCCCTTCCACCACCCACACTGTCTGGGGCCCTGCCCTTCTCTAGAGCCCCCAGCAAGGCTGCCCAGCAGGCCTGGGGGCCCCGGGGGAGCACCCCAGCCCTGGACAAGAGTGCTGGTGATAGTTGCTGCTATAGAAACGGCAGGCCACCGGCCTAAATGCCTCTGTGGATGCCACTTCTTCCATCTGGAAGGCACCTGCTCAAAGGCAAAGTCAGGCTCATCCCCATGGACTCTGCTCTTATAGGAAGACCCCAGGCCCGAGCAGTTGGGCTCCGTACCCCCATGTGATTGCCAGTCCTGACGTATTATCTGTGTGGATCCCAGGACCTAGGACTGGACTCACATTTGGGCGCAATGATGGAGTTTTGGCCCCTCGCTCAGTCTGTGTGTGCTGAGCACCTGCACAGGTGTGGAGTCAGGTGGACATCGACCAGAGATGCAGCCTTAGCAGTCCCCTCCCCTTGGGGTTGGGGTCCTCGCCTATGGAATGGCACTAACCATGCTCCCTCTCAGAGGGGCCATCGGGGAAACACACGCAGGTGGCTTCCAAGAAATGTGCCCCCTCAGCCCCACCCCTGTTCCCCAGCCCCGTTCTCCAGCCAGGCTTCCCCCTGCTGGTCCCTGTCGTGACCCCACAGACCCAGGGGCTCCCTCTGTACCTGCTGCCTGCCCCTCCCCAGCAGAGTCCCCTGACACCCCCGAGGACCTCATCAGTGTGGCTGGTCCTGCAGTCAGGCAGGCCCAGGTCCCCGGGGGCAGGTGGGCGCCTGACTTACTCAGTCCTGGCTGCACAGTGCTGGCTGATGCCTATGCCTGGGGAAGGTGATTTTGAAGGATTGAAGAAAAGTAAGCACAGAATTCGATTGTTCTGAGACTGGGGACACTCAGGCTTGCTTCTCCAGAGCTGCTTCCCCACACAGGCTGCACCTGCCAGCCACCAGGGCTCCTGGCCAGGGCCCCACAGGTCCATCCAGTCGGTGAGAGGCCTGACGGCTACCTGCAGCACGCCTCACCGAGGGGTCCCACAGAGATGGCCCAAGTGTGACAGGCACACCCGGGCTTGGCAGTGGGATGGAAGCTGGCTGACAGGAGGTGCCTTCTCTGTAGGCCATCACTGAGCTGAACAGCCTTGGGCAACTGGAGACCGTCCCAGAGGACAGGGCCGGCAACGATCACTACGAGGACCTGCGGGCCTTGAGGGCCACCCCCAAGAAGCACAGCAGGAAGTGCTCGGATCAGCAGGTACGGCCACACCACCTGCCCCATGAGGCCCTGCCCACAGACCCCACCTGAGCCCGAGCCTTGCGCCCCCACAGAGGAGGATGGTGCTGGCCCAGCGGTACCTAGCCCAGGCCTCCGAGGTGCTACTGCAGTGCATGCAGGTCGCCCTGGGAAGCTGCCTCCTGGACGTTGCCGCCGCTGCCAGCCTGGACATGGTGGAGTGCACCGGCGCCCTGGACCCGGCAGCCACCTGCCAGTTCCTGGCACTGTCTCAGGTATGGCTCTGCTCTGTGCCCCTTCCTCAAGGCCCTTCTTGGCCACCTTGGAAGGGAGACTTCCCTGGACATCCAGCACTCCCTCCTGCTGGTGGGCTGGCCAGCCAGGCTACAGCCGGCGTCTCTGCCTTGAGAGAGTGGTGCTCAGCTGGAAGAGGCAGCTCCCGGTCACCGGAAGAAGCAGGGAAGGCTGCCCATCCTCCTGAGGTTCTCCTGAGCCCCAGCCCCTATTACTGACGTCCTGCTGGTCCACCAAGCCTCATGCTCTTGAGGCTGAGAGCAAAGAAGTGAGCAGGAGCTGGGGGCACAGTGGTGAAGGACCTGGTGACGGCCGGGGGCCAGGAGAAGCACAGCATCCCAAGATGAGCAGCCCCTGGCCCCCTCCCACATGGGCGCCCCCTGGCCCAGGGCAGGGCTCAAGCCCTTGGCCCCATCCCATGTCTGTTTCAGAGCTGCCTGGCTTCAGAGATGATGCGGGATGTCCTGTTCACGGCCACGGCCAACACCAGCAGCTCACAGCTTGCGGCCCTGCTGCAGCTCGAGCATCAGCTGAAGCAGAAGGGGAGGGTGTCCACCAGCTTGTTTGCAAGCGTGGAGCAGACGTTAGCTGTCATTTCCAAGGTGAGCGAGCCGTCTGCGCCTGCCCGGGCCACACAGCCCAGCGGTGCCACTCTGTCGATAGCTGTGTGGTTCTGGGGGCATCACTCACCCTCTCTGACCTCTGCCTCCTCGAGGGCCTCCTGGTGACTGTAATGCCCGGGCCTGCAGCAGGTCAGGAGGGGACAGGGCCCCCGAGGGTCTTCTGGAGCGGGCGTGCTTCTTTCAGCCCACAGTAAAACACTGCAGAGGCTAGCACGTCCTATCGGCTTGGAAGAGCAGGTGTGAATTGGGGTGTTTAAGAAAATGGAACTTGATGACATGCAACGAATCAGGACGGCCGCCTGGAGCACTCTGACTGATCCCACTCGTCTTCCTCCCCTGCTGCTCTGTGCACACCTGTGTGGGTCCAACCTCAGCCCTTTGTCCAGAGCTTCTCTTCTCCCTCTGATGCTTGGGGCCAGGTCGTCGTTTGTGGTGGGGCGTCCTGTGCACCGTGGGTGCTCACCAGATGCTGGCAGCCCCTCCCCAGCTGCGACAACCACAAAGGTCCCCAGAATCACCCCCAGCTGAGTGCCAGTGCTGGAAAGCCTCGCCTTCTCCTGAAGACCAGTGCAGGCCGTCACAGGTGCAGGGGCGAGCAGGCCAGTCCACCGGGAGAAGCAGCACAGCCCAGGCACCGACACTTGCAGGACATGTCCATGTGTGTCCACTGAGGCTGGGGTGGGCGTCACCCGGCACCCACCTCAGAGGAACCTTGAGGGACCAATATAGCGATGCACGTGCAGTGCTGAGGATGGGGCTGGATGCGGGGGGCAGGGGCTTGGTCCACGGCAGGACGAGTCTTTGGCGGGGCGGGTCCGTGGCGGGGCGGGTCCGTGGCGGGACGGGTCCGTGGGGGGACAGGTCGGTGGCGGGACGGGTCTGTGGAGGGACGGGTCCATGGAGGGACGGGTCGGTGGCGGGGCGGGTTGGTGGCAGGACAGGTCAGTGGCGGGACGGGCCTGTGGAGGGATGAGTCGGTGGCGGGACAGGTCCGTGGATGGACAGGTCGGTGGCAGGACGGGTCCGTGGAGGGACGGGTCCGTGGCGGCCAACTCCATCTCGGGTGCTCTGAGGGCTCCTCCTCCTGCTGTTTCAGGGATCCTTGTGGAAGACCGGCATCGACTGGGTCAGGTGCACAGACCAGTCACAGACTCAGGAGTCGGCTGCCCTTGGGGGTGGGGCGTGGACCACAGCCAGGCCACCCCAGCAGGAGCCCGGTGATGAGCAGAAACTGCTGTCCTTAAGCCTCTGCTGTGGACAGGAGAGCAGGCTGAGCTACAGCTCCTGAGGGGAGAAGCTGTCCGCCGCGAGCTGTCCCCGACTGCCCCCCCACCGCCGCGTCAGCGCTGACCCTCTGGGACTCGCAGCAGGCTTGGGACGACCCGCCTGGGGACTGCAGCTGCGTCCTGGGCTGCAGGGAGTTTGCCTGAAAGCTCGTGGACAGCAGTGAAACTCCTTGCGGTTCTCATGGCACCTGGGAAATAAGGACCATCCTGGGAGGAAGTGGCCTCCAGGACACCAGCTCCAGCAAGATGCCACGTGAGGTCTCCTCAGAGAGCATGAACACGGCGCAGGGAAGGCGGACTAGCAGAAGATCGCCCCGCCAGAGACAACAGTGACACGATGGCTTACGGTCTCCCCAAACTCACGAGCCCCCAGGCTCAGGAGCGCCGGCATCACCACGCAAGAGGAACACAGGAAAGCCGCAGCGCATCCATGAGCACGGAACCGCCGCTGCCCAGGTCAGAAACCCCGAGGGCCGCCAGCAAGGAGCCATGGGCACCTGTGAGCCAGCCGGGAGCCACTGCCCACCGCGGCAGCACAGACACATATGGACGCACAGAAACCGAGGGAGTGGGCCGCCAGGTGGCCTGCAGCACCAGAAGCTAGGAGGGGCAGCCAGACAGAAACACCAGAACGCACGAGAGAACCAAGAATCCCACAAAGGCAAATATTTAGGTACAAGGAAACAAATTTTAAGTGTGTAAAACAGTAATTTTAACATCTTGTAGAGTTGAGCTTATTTTGTAGAAGTAAAATGAAAGACAATGATGCAAAAAGCAGGAGAGATTACACAGAGTTTACAATGCAGAGCTTCTGTCACTACTAGGGAAGGGTAAAAATTACATTTTTATTAGATTATAATAAGCCAAAGGTGAACGTCATGGTCCCTAGGGTAACCACTAAAGTAATGTGTAACTAAGTTAATAAAAAGAAAAAATTCAAATAATAGTATTTTATTATCCCAAAGACAGGCAAAAAGAGTGAGGAGAGAGAATATAAAAACATATGTTCCCAGTAGGAAAAAGGCAGGGCAATGGTATTTCAAAACCCAAATATATGTATAATTACAATAAATGTAAGTTGACCAAACCCTACAAGTCAGACTTAAAATTGTCAGATTGGTTGACAAGAAAAACAAAATCCAATCACATGCCACTTAAACGAGACCTGCTTCACATATAAGGACACAGAAATGTTGGATGGAAAAGATGAGAAACAGTATCTAAGTCATGAAGATACTCATCGGATGAAAGCCAGGTGACCCGGGGATCAGTGGACAGGGGATCAGCATCCTCCGTCTGTACGTACAATGATGTAGCTTCAAATGCACGAAACAGAAGTGACAGGAATGACAGCAGTGCTGGACAGGCCCGCGTCCGTTGGGAGACGCACTGCCGGCTCGGCTTCCCATGGAAGTAAGCACGCAGGGGTGTGTGGGAAAGCTGTTCGCGTGCAGGTCTGCGCAGAAACTCACAGAGACGTTCACAGAGCGCAGCACCAACCACGACTGGGTTCTCTTCTTTCCAAGTGTGCAGGGAGTGTGCGCCAGGATGGACTGGTGCCGGGCCATAGCAAGCCTCAAGACTCTCCAACCAAGGGAAATCATTCCCTTTGTTGTCCAGCCACAGTGCAATTAAATTAGAAATCAATAACTGAAAGATACAATTAATCTCAAATTAAACAATATACCTATCATCATCAATTAGTCAAAGGAGAATTCACAATGAAATTTAGAAAATATTTTAAACTGACTTAGAGAATGAAAATGCCATATAGCAAAACCTATGAGACTTGTCTAAAGCAGGGCTTAGAGGAAAAATACAGCCTTGAATACAGGGAGAAAATCTTAAAAGCAATAATTTAGGTTTTGACTTCTAGAAGCTAGAATAAGAACACCTCTAAGAAGAATAGAAGGTAACAAATAAGAAACACAACAGAAACAATGGAATTGAAACAAATATACGGTAGAGGAAACCAACAGGGGTAGAAGGGTTCAAAGAGAAGACTAATAAAATTGATGAACATTTAGAAAGACTCGAAAAGGAAAAAAAAAAAGAAAGAAAGCCCAAAATTCCACTATCAGCAATAAAAAGACATCATGGAGATCCTTCAGACTTCAAAAAGCCAATAAGGGAATATTCCGTACGACCGTGCTCTAGTAAAGTTTGGCAATCTGGATGGAATAGAGAAATTTCTCAAAAAATACAACTTATCAAAGCTGACAGAATAGAAAATCTGAATGATTTATTACCTGTTAAAGAAATTGAATCTTTTATTAAAAACATCCCCACAAAGAAAATCCCAGGCCCAGTTGGCAAGGACGCGGAGAAAGGGGACCCCTCCTACACTGTTGGGGGGAACGCAAGCTGGTGCAGCCACTCTGGAAAACAGTGTGGAGGTTCCTCAAAAAGTTGAAAATAGAGCTACCCTACGATCCAGCAATTGCACTACTGGGTATTTACCCAAGAAATACAAAAACACCAATTCAAAGGGATACATGAACCCTGGTGTTTATAGCAGCATTATCTACAATAGCCAAAGTGTCCACTGACTGATGAATGGATAAAGAAGATGTGGTCTATATACACAATGGAATATTACTCAGCCATCAGAAAGGATGAGATCTTGCCATTTGCAATGATGTGGATACAGCTAAAAAGTATTATGCTAAGTGAAGTAAGCAAATACCATATGATTGATTGCACTTATGTGGAATTTAAGAAACAATATGAGCAAAGGGAAAAAGACAAGCCAGGAAACAGACTGTTAACTCTAGAGAACAGCTGATGGTCACCAGAGGGGAGGTGGGGGGGGCGGGGGACTAGGGGATGAAGGTGTGCACTTGTGCTGAGCACCAGGTGATGTATGCAAGTCTTGAATCACTGTGTTGTACACCTGAAACTAATATTGCACTGTATGTTAACTCTACTGGAGTTAAAATAAAAACCTAAACAAAAAGCAAGCCCCAGAGGAGACCCTCAGAGCACGCATTCTGTGCTCCCCTCAATGAGAAAAGGACAGACGCTGACACAGAAGAAAAACTACAAGACTGGAACGCCGCAAAAGATACCCAAATGGTCCATAGACATTTTTAATGGCACCCAGCTTCATTCGTTGTCAGGGAATTGCAAAAATTAAAACTGCATTCAGTCACTACTAGACCCCCACCTGAACATCCGCAATGGAGCGAGCGGGGCCGCATCAATGGAAGAGCCTTGTCCCCAGGGAACACGTGCCTGGAGGCCTGTCCTGCAGCTGCGGCCAAAGTGGGCGGGGACTGCCCGGAGTGGGCACAGGCTGGGGGCGCGCTCAGGCGGCGCGCCCTGCGACGCTCCGGCTTCTCATCCCGGCCGGTGGGTGCGGCTCGCTTAGGATTTTCTGCTTTCTCTCTGCTCCACCCGCACATGTGGACGCCAGTGCGGACCCCAGTCGCCGCTTGCAAACGCGAAGCTGGTTTCATCAGCAAGTGGGGAGGTGTGCTTGTGGGCCGTTGTGGCTCATCTAGGAGGGCTGCGGAGCCGGGGCCGGGCCGGCGGGGCGCGCAGCGGGGCCGGGGCGCGGGGGGCGCACGGGAGGGCAGGGGCGCGCGCGCCTGTCCACACGCGTGGCGTTCAGGGGACCGGGAGGAGGACGGAGGGAAGACACTAGGTTGCTGGAGGATCTTCCGTTGGTTACTTGTTTGGGTTCTTAGGCTTGCTCGTGTCAGGCAGGTCGGGTTTGTGATGGAGGCCTAGGGTGGAAGCTCGGGGGATCCCGGTGGATTCCGCGTGCGCCCTCTGCCCTCTTGTGGCGGCCGCGCGTCCTGCAGGGGTCGCGCCCCAGTCCGGCCGCGGGGCACCTGGCCTGAGGCCCCGCACAAAGTCTAGCAGACATCTCAGCGACTGGGCCTGCATCGTGCATGATCGGTTGATTCCTGTTTATCACACACAGGCTTGGCAAAATCTAAGGGTCACTGAGCAGCATTTTAACCTCCTGAATGAAATCCCACCTACCTTTCGGATCGCCATCCTGCAGCACTCGCCGGACAGGTAAAGCCTTCTTATTCCTGTTCTGGGGCCGGCCCCCACCCTGTTAAGAAGTCTCCCGGTGCTGCGTGAATACAGCACCGGGGCTGCGACGGAGGGCATGTTATGGGTGGACCGAAGGCCGTGGCTGGACCGACACGGACTGGCAGAGGCTCCCAGCTGTGATGGGGTGGGGCAGCAACCCCCTGGGAGAGGCCAGGCTGGGACCACTGGGGACCCCGATCCACCTGCTGTCCACAGCATGGGACCTGTGCATCTGCTGAAGGCCTCTCTCACCATGGAGCAGAACCCTCGCCTGTGCCCAGATGGGCCTGTTTCAATTCTGTGTCTTGACTTGGCCAAGGCATTCATGGGAAGGGGGCTCCTGCTGGGGTGTATGTGGTTCACTGACTCAGGACCCCACGAGCTGGGCTTCGACCCTGCCCTGCGTCCTGCCAACAGGGCCCATCTGTACTGCACAGCCTATGAGAGACCCAAGTCCATCCCCGCGGCCAAAGGGAAGGTGCTCCAAGTGGGAGGTGAGTTCTGCTGCAGAAGGTGTTTATCAGGCCTCACCCACGTTGTAGGGCACGCACCGCGCAGGACCTCCACAGGCGGGGGCCACGACGCATACCTGGGGGGCTTGGTGGCCCAGCCCTCCATGTGCTTGCCCAGTGGGGTTTGTTGAGCCTGTGAGAGACAGGGAAGGAGGCAGGGGTGTTTCCCGGACCACCAGTGGCCCCCGAGATGGACCAGCCACCCCTCCCCCTCAAGAATTTCTTCTCCCAAAAAAACACTGTATTCCCAGTTTCTTCCTTAACATCTCTGGCATATAATTCCACTTAGCATTTCATTTAAAATGAAGGAAGGCTGTGGAACGGAGACATCCATCTGTGTCCCCACTTTTGACAGCTATTGTGAGTGCCCACGAGCGAGCTGTGTCCATAGCCAGGAACTTCTTCTCATGTGGAGAAATCCTGTGCCCACAGTTTGCTCACGATTACCCACTCCCGGCGTTTATGCCCACCCCCCACTCTGTCCTCGGCCCCAGAGGGTGGTCTGTGAGGCCGTGGGGTGGGATGGCAGAGGTCTCGGTCTCCACAGGCTCCTGCAAGGTGACACGGGTGGCCGTGAACCCAGACAGCTTCTCCCGCCTGTTGGCCAGTGCCCAGCAGTTCCGGGAGCTGACCCAGGCTGTGGCGAACAACGAGGACCCGGCCCTGAGCTCAGGCACGGTAAGACCCACGAGCCCAGCTCCCAGTGCTGCCGCCGCCACCATGCAGGGGACCAAGACCCTGGCCCGGCTGCAGCAAGCTGGGGCAGGGAGGGCTAGGGGAATGGCCCCGGCCACCCAGACCCCAGGCACTGCTGGACACCCAGGTCGGGGTCCCCACAGGGTAGCCAGTTCTTTGAGTCCCTGAGCGAGTCTGGTGCGGCTGCCTCCTTGATGTCAGCAGAGACAACTGTGGGGCCGGGATGCCAGGGTGACCTCTCGGAGGATGGGGCGGGTGGAAGCGGCAAGGAGCACTGCCTGCAGGGGGATCTGGTGGGCCCTGGTCCTGGGGCAGGCGGGTGCAGGGAGCCCTGCTCTGCAGCCAACTGGGCCTCTGGCTGCCAGGCTTTTTTTGGGAAGGGCATGTTCGAGGGCCCTGCAGGGTCCTTCCCGCTCTTTGCTCTAACAGGGTTGGGATTTTATGAGGCCCCTCCCCCTTAGACACTTCTGATCACTGGCTGATGTTTGGGTTGAGACAGGAATTGGAAAGTGTGCACCTTGAGAGGGAAAGACACTCTCTGCAGAGATTCAGTGATGTCCTGGCATCCATGGAGGAGTACCTGAGGCCACTGTTCCCAGTGCTCAGCAGCCCTGCGGCCAGGTACCTGCCGTGGGCTGACAGCTGCCAGCCCTGAGGGCAGAGGCCACAGAGGGCAAGGGAGGGGCTGGCTACATCCCGGCGGGGGTGGGTTTCGGGCCCAAAGTTGGCACTCTCCTCGGGACAGACAGGAGGGTCACCATATCTCCGTCCCCAGCCGTGCCCCCCAAATGCTGGGAGCAGTCAGGAATAGGGTGCCCGGGAGCCAGGGCGGACAGGGTGGGGGGCTCAGCCTGTAGGCTCTGCTGCCCCTCCAAATCCCAGAATGAGCCGGCTGTGGGGAGGGGGAATGCTGTTCCCACGTGGAAGTCTGAGTCTCTGACGCTGTGAAGTTGGTGAGCTTCGCTCTGTGCTGAATCAGGCCATGCTGAGTTCACATCCACAATGCCCGACTCAGGACCATCCGTTGTAGGGGAGAAGCCCTAGGGCTGCTGAAAATCTTCTCTGGGGGCACATCCCAGCCACTCAGGTCCCTTCTGTTGCTGGTGCAGGGTGGGAGTGGGGAGCATGGCCCAGTCCTGAGCCCCTGTGATTTACGCTCAGTAGAGAAGAAGGCAGAGGACTTGGGCAGTTGAGCGGGCGGTACTTTTAAGATTTGCCCGTAGGTCAGAGGTAACCCTGAGTCCTGTCTGCTCCTGTGTGTGCTGTTATCCCTGGCCTCCCGCAGGGAGACCGGTCCCCAGGAGTGAGTTATGGAACGTGCCTCGTGGCGCTCACTGCCCTGATGTTCCTCCCATTCTTAGTACATGTGATGTTCACGTGTTTTTAAGAACCTGGACATGCCTTTGACTTCTAGAACACAGAGTCCCACGCCTGCTGCGGATTCCAGGAAATCAAAGGGCAAAGATAAGGAAAGGAAAGTGTCCCTGCCCCATGGTGAGTAGAGGCCTGATGGGAGCTTCTGCTGGAGAACTTGGGCTGGGATTCACCGGAGAGCGCAGTCGGGGCAGGAACAGGCCCCCCAGAGGGTCTCCCAGGGAGGTGGGAAGGTCCCCAGAAGGTTGTGTGCGCAGCCCCGCGCCAGCGCCCTGGGTGGGGGCTTCATGCCGCTGCCGGCCGCACCACGGACCCCAGCCCGCCCACCCTTCCTGGGAAAGCCAGCAGCCTGCGTGTGTGCCCCAGACGACACGAGGGGCAGACGAGCTTCTGCGTCAGTGATCTGCTGATCTCCTGGAGGAAGGGTGAATGTGCCGGGTGCAGCCGCCGCAGGGGAGAGGGCCCCGGCGCCTGAGCGCTGTCTTCCCGGTCACCTTTTGTGCCACCAGGACGGACCGTCTGGTTCTCACTCGCTGTGCTTACATGTGTGGGAAACGTGCTGGCGCCATCACCAAACCCCACAAGTGGCCAGGGGCGTGGCACGTCCGGGAGGGTTCTGCCTCCCACCCGGCACCTGCGGCTTTATAAATCGTTTTTTCAAAGGCATTTTCATCACTCGCCTTTTCTGTTGCCCCCACAGAATTACTCAGTAGAAGGGAGAAGAGGGGCTGCTCTATCCAAGGGTGCTTTGATTTCCAAAGGTGCCTGGCGGTGCCCTCGGGCCAGCACCTCACCCCAGACGTGGTCACTCCGGCTCGCGTGCCAGTGCCCGCGGCTGCCTGGGGCTGCCCTTAGGGTGAGGGGCTGAGCTTGCCCACCTGAGGTCACTTCTGTGAACTGAGATTCTGCCCTAAAAATTCCCCAGGTTAAGGCCTTTGCTCACTTTTAAGTGACTTGTTTTTACTTTGTACATACAGTGAATTCAGTTCAGGTGTCTTGTGGCCTTGCCCTTCATCCCCTTCACACCTGTCGCAAAGAGCAGGTTTTCTCATGAGCCAGGCCGGTTCGGCAGCTTCTCTGAGGGCTCCGTGGTCACTCGGAGAAGCTGCCACATCGCAGGGATGCAAATCCTTTAGCGCACATCTTCATCCTTTGAAAGGGGGTTCCATGCTTAGGAGTCATGGCACTCCTGGACCTGCCCTGGAACTGGCTGTCCATGTGGGGGCAGGTCCTCGAACCATGGAGGACCCGACGACCCTGTGACCTGGGCCCTGCCCGGGTCTGAGCTGTGACTTCGCCGTGCCACCAGAACCAGTGTCCATCCCCCAGAGAGCCCTGGCGCACCCTGGGCCCTGCTCCTCACGCGCTGAGCCCAGCTCAGACTTCTTCGTCTGTGTGCAGTCGAATGGCTTCCACAAGGAGGGACAGACCCGGACCAACAGGCCCGCCCCAGGGGTTTGCCCGTCCGCAGGAGCGCCCCTCCCTCTGCCTCCATAGCTGGCGTCCCTTGTCCGCAGTTCAGCTCGAGGCTGCAGACAACACCATCCTCATTGTGGACAAGGATCTTCTGGAGTTGCCGCTGGAAGGCCTCTCTGTGTTTAAGGAGGGCACGGCCTCCTCCGTGTCCCGAGAATTCTCCCTGCAGATGCTGTGCAATCGCCTCCATGAAGAGGAGACAGGTAAGAATACCCTTGGCCTCACTGTACTGACCCTCCCGCTGGGCCCGTCTGAGTACCGCACGCGGACTCCTGTCCGACGCTTCTTATCAGATGTTCACGCTTTGTTCCAGGCCCTCATCCGCTCATAGTCCCAGAGCGCCCACTACGCGCCCAGTGTCTGTGAGGTGCTGAAGGTCCACTGCAGGAGAAGTTAAACATTGTTCTTGGCCCACAAACCGGGGATGGGTGGTGCCCAACGACAGGGCTACTCACTTCTTAGGTGGTGAGGGGCAGGGAGGGAGGGGACCAGGAAGACGGACGGCACTCAGGCCTGGGGGCAGCTGGGGGCTCGGGCTGACCCTGTCGTGTCCCGGGGGCTGTTTGCGCCCATGCGCCCAGCGTGTGAACCTGTCCAGGCTGGAGGCTTGTGCTCTGTGCTGCACTTCAGTGAATGTGTTCAACTAAAAACAAATAGTTTGGACTTTGGCTTCCATCCAGGAGAGGGTAACAAGGACCAAATTGCCCTTCTAAGAGAAATAAGTGAAAACCCGAAATAGACGGAGTGGTGGGTCTCAGACACTGGAGGGCAGGCCGTGCGGAACCTGGTCCCCGAGAACGGGGCCGACCCCACGGAGGATGGGCCATGAGCCCAGAGAAGGAATACAGGAATTAATAATGGCCAGTGCCCCCCCAACCCCAGATCTGACGAAAACCGTAATCCCATGTTTCCATAAGTCCCGGACACAGGAAGCGGAGAGGAGACTCCAGGGCAGGTGGTTAGAGTGACGAGAACCCCAGCAGTGTTTCAGCAGCCTCCGCGGAACACCCAGAGGCAGGGCCAGGAGTGACCCCAACTTCCTGACAGAGACCACGCAGGTGACGAGCAACATCCTTACATCACCGCAGAAAGTCTGAGGGCTACAGCCTGCACACCGATGAAGAAGATGACGCGGAGCACAAAATACACAAGAGTGCGCAAAAGGCAGAAAAAGAGGGAAAGTGGGACAAAGAGCAGCTGGGGCTGGTGGAGACCGACAGCAGGTGTATTTGCCCCTCCTGCGCAGAGAGCGCCAGCCCCCGGTGAGAAGGGAGGGCCCTTCGTGGGCGAGCTTGCGGTGTCCAAGACCCCCTCAAATAACAGGACAGAGAACACGCCGCCCCCTGCCGGCCACGCCATGGACTCGCTCGTGTCCGCGTCTAGGGCCAAGTTTTGCCAGGTTTTCTGGTTTTTGTTCTTTTCGGTTTGTGGGGTTTCCATAGGTTTGCATATGGATTTTCTTATTATTTACATGAACGACAGATGCCTCCTCCCACTCTGGAGCTTGTCTGCTCACTCGCCTAAATGGTGCTGTTTGAACACAATATTTTAATATAGTCCAATATATCAATCTTTTGCTTAATCGCTGGTGCTTTGGGGTTTTTTTTTAAAACTTGTTTTCTTATGTCACAATCATGAAGCTATTCTCCCATGATATCTCGTAAATACATCTGTTTTTCTTTCCTGCCTTTTACGTGGTATCCACCCTCCTAACCCACAGCGTGAGGTACGGTTCTGTTTCTTCCCCTTGGGAGCACCATTTACGGGAGGGTCCTTTCTCCTCGGCTCCGCGTGGCCAGTGTTGCCGTGGCAGCGGCAGACAAGAGCCACCCTGGGGTGGCAGGAGGAGCGGCGGCCCGGGCGTGTGCACACCCTGCTCCCTAGGATCTGGGAGTGTGACCCAGTGACACGGGAGAGTGTCCCGGAGGAGCTGGGAGGCCCGATGGCAGCACCGGGCTCCTCCTGAGACGGGGGCAGGAGGGTCACAGAGACACGGGAGGAGGCCACGCTGCCCCCTCTGAAGATGGAGAGGCGCTGAGCTGCGGCCGCTGGAGGCTGGAAAGGGCCAGAACCGATTCTCCCCAGGAGGAAAGAGCCCTGCACACACCTTGATTTTAGCCCAGTGGACCCGTTCAACCCTGACCTCCAGGTCTGTGAGACACTAAATGTGTGTGGTTTCAAGCCCCAACCCGTGTGGTGATTTGTTACAGCAGCAACAGGAGATGCACCCAAACTCTTAACAAAAATACTGGCGAGGTGTGAGTTCAGTCTCTACGTGTTAGTTACTGAGTCCTGACCCCCAGGGTCCCGCACACCCAGAGGGGGTTTTGTCGGGGCCGTGAGCTGCGCCGGCTGCATGCATGTTTGTGGGTGAAACGTTCCTGGTAAATCTTTAAGGAGAACCACCAAAAGCAGAGAATCGGTGTATGAACTCCAGATCAACAGAGGGACACAAGCAAGAAAAGCAAATGGTCCGAACACCTCACCCGAACTGCTAGCAGCCAGTGAATGGAACAAATAAAAATCAAAAGGCAAAGTGGTGGAGATTAGTCCATGTGGGTCATAAACTAAAACATAAATAAATAAGTGGGCCACACCGGTCAACTCCGTGACAGCGTGGATGACGAGGCATGCCGAAGCCGGGGACATGGGTCCGACAGCAGGCCAGAGAATGGACAGACGGAGTGACCCATCGTCTCGCAGAACGGACCTGACGGCTGTAAGCACCATCAGGGCTGGGGTCATTCCATGGTGGTAATGGTCGGTTGTCAGTAGGATAAAATCGCCTCAAACTATGTGAAGCAACGAGCAGTCAAGAACCAGGGCAAGACCGGGGGACCCGCCCCGCGGGGGTAGATCACGCACGCCCCACGTCCGGTAGGTCGGACAAACAGGGAGAGCAGAGCCTGGGCCGCGCTGTGGACAGACCCGGAGCCGTACAACAACTGGGGCCGTTTTCCCCAGGAACAACACCTGGAGTGATGACCACATTGGCCGACACCACAGTGCGATCAGCTCAGAAGCCATTACCCAAAGGAGGATTTTTAAAATTCCATTCATTTCAAATTTAAAAACACACTTCTGCGTATCTCCCGGGCCTCAGGAGAAAGGGTTGCAGGGCGTCCAAGGCTGGTGGAGTGCTATGGCCGCAGGGCCTGGAAGGGTCTCACAGCTTTGGATGTTCGTATCAGAAAAGGAAAAGGTTGGAAGTGTACAAGCTAAGCATCAAATTTATGAAGTTAGAGCAAGAACAGCAAAAGAAAAAAAAAAACTCAAAGCAGAGGAAAGGGTACAATAAACACATGAGCAGACATCAACAAAATAGAAAGCAAAACAAATTTTTTTAAAGATATTATTTATTTGACAGAGAGAGAGCGAGACCGAGAGAGAGCGCACACAAGCAGGGGGAGCGGCAGAGGGAGAAGCCGGCTTCCCGGCCGAGCAGGGAGCCCGATGCGGGGCTCGATCCCAGGACCCTGGGATCATGACCTGAGCCGAAGGCAGACCCTTACCCGACTGAGCCACCCAGGCGCCCTGGAAATAATTTTTTTTTTTTTTAACTCATAAAATAGACACATTCTGGTAAGAATGATCAAGAAAAAAGGTGGGTGGTGCACAAATACACAAAGTTGGGAATGAAAAGAGACTCAAACTCTAAAGATGCATCAGGGATTTAAAAGATCCTAAGAGACCGGACAACAGTATATCCAAACCCCTAGGCAAAGCGGACCAAGTCCTGGGGAAAAACAGCTCACAGACTCAAGAAGGAACACCCCGAACAGTCTCAGAACCAGCAAGGAAAGGAGATGAACAGATTTACTCCTTTGAGATCTACCAGACTTTCCGGAAACAGTTCACATCAGTCTTAACAGGTCTCCCTGGAGTAGGGAAAAGGGGCCAACCCGTCCTAGCCTTCTGTCGGCCCCTGACACCCAAACTGCCAAGACCAGCACAAGAAAGAAAAATAGAACTTATATCACCCAGTCTGACCTCAAAAATTTGCAAGTGTCGTTATATTGGATTAAAGGAAAACGAAGTTACAAGCCTCTCAGTTGCTGCAGGAAAAGAGCATTTGATAAAATGTGTGCGTTCATAATAGAAATTCTTAGCAAACCGGGACAGAGTGGACATACCTCACCCCGGTGGAGGCTCCATCCAGACCTAGAGCGAGCCGCCCTCCTGACGGCACACCCCGGGGAGCTTGCTGTCAGGACACAGCAGGGTCCTCGGCCGCACTTCCGTCCCTTCTCTGCGGGAGCTGCAATTCGGGCAGACACGCAGAAATGAGAGGCATGAAGGCGGGAAGGAAGTGAACTGTCATTATTTTTGGACCCTGCAAAAGAATCTGCAAGCCCCTAGAACAGACACGTGTAAATCCTTGTGCAGGAGGCAGAGGAACCAGCCGGGCCCAGCCCTGTGACTGGGGCCACACCACGGGCACACTGGTGGGTGCCCGGCATGGTGTGTGAATGTCAGCTGGGTAGGCAGCAGGGCCTCTGGTGACGGTTCCTTTCTTGAGGTCTCCTGCCTCGGGCCTTCCCCAGCCCTGCAAGCCTTTACATTTCAGAAACCATGGCTCTTTCACCTTTACAAAAATTAAACTCAATTGTTCGCACTACTTCTTTTTTTTTTCATTAAGGTGAAAAAAATAACCATTTTAAAGTGAACATTTCAGGGACATTTATTGTGTTCATAATGCTATGTGCCACCCACTATTCTAGCCCCAAACACCACCTTCTTTCGCTGTCTGCAGCTGAGGGGACCGTGAAGGAGAGCAGAGGCAGGAAGCGGGGTCCAGCGAAGAAGGGACGGAAGGTGGGCAGACGGGCCTGGGGAGGCTGGGTGCCCCCTGCAGGACGCGGGCCCCCCAGCGACCCTTGTCTGTGGTGCAGGACGCTCCGCCCCGGCTCATCCCCCCCGACTGCGTCGTAGTGGACGCCGACAACTTCAAGTGTATCCTTCACTGGCCCCGCCGTCTGGGACACCCAGGCAGGTGCAAGCACTGTTTCTCCTTAACCCAGACCTAGTCATCGTGGACCCTTACGGGGAGGCCCGGGGCATAGGTGAGCGCCTCCCACGGGCCCCTGACGCGCGCACACGTGCACACACTCAACACACCACCCTCTGGCCTCCACCCTTGGCTGCCTCCCATTACACTGACCACGGGGGGCGTGGGGTCCCGTGGCCGTGGCTAGCACAGCCAAGTTGGGACCATAGCTGTAGGAAAAGTGAACCCCTGACGCGAGGTCCACTGCCCCCCTTCTCAGAGCCCAAAACGGGACTTCCTGCCACCCAGGGCAGCTCCAAGTGTCTAACTCTTGCGGGCTCTTCTTTTGCTAAATTGGTTTTACATCACTTCTCGGCCTTTGGCTAAGATCAAGTGTAAAATCTCCTTACAAAGGAGGGAGGGAAGGAGCACTGACATTTCCACACGCAGTAAACGTTGGCTGCACCCTGTCCTGTATCTCTACACGAGGGGCCACGCCAGGGGACTGCCTGCTGCCCACCTCCCTCAGTGCTCCACATGTGAGACAAGCTCCATTCAACTCCTGTTGCAGAAAGGCTAACTCCTGTCTTCGTCACCCGGGAAATTTTGGAAAGATTCCGAGACACGTTCACTGCTCTCTGGGTGGGACATCTGGGAAATAAGCAATTCCCCAGGTTGGTGCCGGGGTGTCTGGGGACACCGTCCTGCAGCCAGCAGGTTGATGTGAGCCAGCTGGGGGTGCTCCACACGTGGTGGGAGGGACTGCTGTCCTCCGTCTCTCCCCGTCCCTCACTCCTCCCTCCTCCCTCAGGCTCCCCCCAACCCTGACCCCGCATTCCGTCCTGTCAAACCCCCCGCCACCCCCACCCTCAGAGGCTCCTGGTGTCTGGCCTTTCTTCATCACACAGTGGGCTCCTTGGTCCTCATGGTGCCTGCATGGTGGCGTCATTGTCCTCATCCCCACTTTACAGACGAGGACCTGGCACCTGGGAGTGTGATTTTGCCCGGGGTCCCCCAGCCAGTCCAGTGCAGGGCGTGCCCCTGGCTCTGGGACTTGGGGGGATTGTGGGAGGAGAACCTGCTGGAGAGGGGCGGGGCTGCGGGAGAGAAGGGCGGGGCCCGTGGGCGGGGCCGCGAGGGAGAAGGGCGTGGAGGCGTGGGGCGGGGCTTCGAGTGAAGGGCGGGGCTGCGAGAGAGAAGGCGGGGCTGAGAGTGGGCGGGGCCTGTGAGAGGAGGAGGGGCGGCATTGTAGAGGGGCCTGCTGGAGAAGTGTAGGGTTGCACGTGGGCGGGGCCTGTGGGCAGTGGGCGGGGCCTGCTGGAGCGGTGTGGACTGCTGGGGGCAGGGACACTCCCCTGTGGGTTCTCGCAGAGACCTGGGAGTGGTTGGCCATCAGGGAAGTGTCCTTCTAGCACTTTCCAGAGCCGCTGCTCAGTGAGATGAGAGTTCATTCCTGGGACCCGAGGTCCTTTCTCCGGAGAACCATTGTGGAGAGAGCGCAGGATGGAGGCTGACGCCGGGCATCAGGAGAGTGGACGTTGGCCCTGTCCTAGCAGAGGGGTGGGGCGGGGAGTGAAGAGCACAGGGCAGGCTTTGCTTTCAAAGCACGTCCTGGGAGCTTGTCCGGCCTGCAGCCCAGCCCCGAGGGCCTCAGGACAGATGTGGTTCTGGCCACAGCACCCCAGGGACATCCTGGGACGCCGGCTGCCGGCCTCTGGCTCCGACCACCGGGCCGCCCTCCTTCCATTTGCAGCCAGGCCGAGTGGGAGCAGCTCCTGGGCAGCTGCAGCGGCTTCTTCTTCTACGGGATGGAGAGCTTCCTGTCCCACATACTGGTGGAAAGGTTGGCTGCCATGAACCTACGAGGTGAGGCAGTCCCTCAGGGCCCCAGAAGCCCGATGCTCTGCCAGGATCCCAGTGTGTGAGATGGATCCACATAGGGACAGAGCGAGGCCCCTGCGTCGCCATCAGTCATCATCTGTCTGAGAAAGGGCTCGGGGCCGGGGTACTCTGGACGCACAGCAGGGCTCTGGGGGCAGCCTCCTCGTGCCCTTGTACCCCTCCTCCACTTCTCAGAGACCCAGGTCAGAGTTCTAGACCTGACAGGTGCAGCCGGAGGCAGGAGCTGGGAGGGTCACCACCGGGGCTGGGCCTGCAGAGTCCAGGAGGGCTAGGGTGGGCATTTCCAGAACACACTGACCACCACACCCCCCCCCTCCCGACTCCTAGCGTAAATGTGGGCACTCTAGGCCTTGTATTCTGTCTGGCCATTCCCTGAGGACATCTGAGTGGGCGGTCTGGCTTGGCCTTGAGTGACCTTCTCCTGAGGCAGTGGCTGACTGGCCACACTGCGTAGTTGCTAGGAGAGCCTTTTCGGGGACCCTCAAGAGGCACATGGCCCAGTGACAACAGCATAACAAGCACGTGGACGTGTGTCCCATGGTCAGGGCACCTGAATACCCCCACACCATCACCTGCTACCGGTCTCCTTCCCAGGCCCTGGAGATGGGCCACGCAACAGCCCACCCCACCCCAGAAGCCTGTCACCGGTGCATTCCTTACCCCTAGGGGAGGTAGAAACAAGGCCTTCTCAGATGCGTGAGGTCAGAGGCTTTCTTAAGCTCACCAGGCTCGTGTGGGGCTGACAACACCACTGGTGTCCTATGCTATTCCCGACTGTTGGAGGCTCTGCCTGCCCCTGGGGACAGCCCCCCAAGCCTGCCCTCAGCCAGGCCACTGCAGGAAGTGCACAGTCAACTCTGTGCCCATGGGGCTCTCGGCATGCCCACAGCCAAGTGTTGCTGTTTGAGCAGACACATGGGGCCACATGCCTGAGACCGCCCCTGGCAGGCTGGGCTGCCTTGTTGGCATGGCATGCTGGGAGCTGAGCCGATTGCACTAGAAGACTGGGAAGGGTGTGGGGTTCCCGAAGCAGAGAGTGTCCCCATGTGCTGGTGCAGCCGGCGGGTCTTGGGAAAGGGACTGTGGACTTCAAGTCCGAGCCTTGGCCATATTGGGCTGCATTTCCCTGATTGCCCCACGCCCTGGGTGACACCACCAGCCTGCACTGGCCTCCCACTCCTGGGCGTGCGGCTGCTGAGCTGCCCCTCCTGTGTCCCGCAGAGTGCCAGATGATGGTCCTGCTGGGCCTGACGCGGTCCCACGAGAGCATGCGGCGGCACATGGAGAACTCAGAGAACAAGAGGTGCCTGCACCAGCTTTGAGCCAGCAGCCTGGCCTCCACACACCGAATGGGGGTGCCTGCAGGGCCTAAGACTGATGGATGTGCTCCCCGGGGAATGTGGGGGACAGTGTCCCTGCGTCCCATGGGCAGAGCCATCTGCCCCCAGACCCCACCCTGGAAGAGGCTGGCTGGGGGGTGGGGGGGTGCAGTGGAAGACTAAGGCCTGCGGGGACTGGGCCAGGGGACAGGGGGCCAGGAGGCAGGAGCTGGAAGGGTCACCACCGGGGCTGGGCCTGCAGAGTCCA